GGTGGCCTGGGGCTGGCCAGTGACCGGAGCCGTGCAGCCCCCAGCAGAGGTGAGCCCCCCCCACCCTCCAAGAAGCCGTGACGTACCAGGGGGTACCCCGTGCACCCCAACCCCACCGCGTGACACCCCGCTCTTTGCAGACACCCTCAGGCCAGGGACCCTCCCCAGCCTCTCTGATTTGGGGGACCCCGTGGAAGCCGTCAGGAGGGAGGAGAAGAAGGTGAGGCCAGGATGGTCCCATCCCCTATGGGATTGGGGGTGGCTGGGATGGGGGAACCCCCCTGCCCCCCGACCCTGCAACCTCTCCCCTCCCTCCCCAGATGAAAGCCGCTCGCCTCAAGTTCGACTTCCAAGCTGAGTCGCCCAAGTAAGCGATGGAGCTGCTGGGGGGGGGTCCCCGCTGTGCCCCTGCGGTCCCTCGGGCGGTGGGTGGGGACTGGAGGAGCGCTGGGATGTGGGGTGGGTGGGTGCCCCCCCCCCGGACTGGTGTGAGCGGTGTCCCTTGCAGGGAGCTGACCCTGCAGAAAGGGGACATCGTCTACATCCATAAGGAAGTGGACAGGAACTGGCTGGAGGGCGAGCACCACGGCCGCGTGGGCATCTTCCCCTCCAACTACGTGGAGGTGAGCCCGGGCGGGGGATGGAGAGGGGCCAGCGGGGTTGGAGAGCGGGGTTGGAGACCCTCACCCGTATCCCCGCGCCCCCCCTCCACCCCCGCCCCTCTCCAGATCCTGCCCCCCACGGAGGTGCCCAAGCCCATCAAGGCACCCACCATCCAGGTGCTGGAGTACGGCGAAGCCCTGGCGCTTTACAATTTCCGCGGGGAGCTGCCCGTCGAGCTTTCCTTCCGCAAGGTACCGCCGCGCCGCGCCGCGCCGCGCCGTGCCGTGCCGTGCCGTGCCGTGCCACGCCGTGCTAACCCCCCCTCTGGTCCCCTCGGCAGGGCGAGCGGGTCTGCCTGGTGCGGCGGGTGGACGAGAACTGGTACGAGGGGCGCATCTCCGGCACCAGCCGTCAGGGCATCTTCCCCGCCACCTACGTGCAGGTGCTGAAGGAACCCAAGGTCAAAGCCACCGCCGAGGATTTCCCCCCCTCGCCCGCCTCCGCCAGCCCCCGGCTCCCGGCTGGATCCCCAGCCCTGCAGCGCTCACCCGGCCCCCGGGCCCCCCCGCTTTCCGCTGCTTCCCCCCGGGAGGCAGAGCGAGGTGCTGGTGAGGCTGGTGGGCGCCCGCCCTCACCCCGCCACCTCGGCTTCGCCTTCCCCCCTTCCCCAAAGCTACCCCGTGCCGGCGGCCCGAGCCCCTCGCCGGCCCCCGCCAGCCCCCCTCACCTTGCAGCCGCCCATCCCCAGGAGCCGTGGCGCCCGGCCTGGCCCCCCGAGAAGGTGAGCGACCCCCCTGACCCCCGGCATCGTGCCCCAGCACCGCCGGGGATGGGGGTGCTGCCCTGTAACGCTGCGCCCATCCTCTCCTCCCTGCAGTGTGCAGCCCCGGGGGCACCCACCAGCACCCATCCCGAGCCCGCCCCGTCCTACAACGGCTCCGAAATCCAGTGGACCCCGTAAGTAGGGGGAGGAGCGGCACGTGGTGTCCCCACACAGCACCCGTGGTGACACAGGCTCTGGTCACCGTGTCCCGCAGGTACCGGGCACTCTACCAGTACCGGCCCCAAAACGCCGACGAACTGGAGCTGCTGGAGGGCGACCGGGTGGATGTCATGCAGCAATGCGACGACGGCTGGTTTGTGGGTGCGTGGCCGCCGGGGAAGGGGACAGGGACGGTGACCCGTTGCCACCGCCACCCCCCTCACCACCTCTCCTTCGCCTTTATCCCCTCCTCAGGCGTCTCCAGGAGGACGCAGAAATTCGGCACTTTCCCCGGCAATTACGTGGCGCCGGTGTGACCCGCGGTGCTGGGAAGAGAAGCTTGGTGGGAGGTGCGGGGCCGGGGGCTCCCCACTGTCCCTCCTCGGCCACCCTGTGTCCCCCTCCGTGTCCCCCCACGGGGACGAAGTGCCTCCAGCTCCCTCCTGCCCCTATGGGGCTGCCTTTAACAGGGAGCAATCCCCGCCCTGAGTAAGGGGAGGGGGCTCCCCCACCCCAGTGCCTTAACCCGAGCCCTGCTCGCTGCTGCCCGGTGCTTTATCGCCCACGGGCCGGGTGGCCCCACGTCCCCCCGGGCAGTGCCGGGGTGACCTGGCCGGTGCCGGGCCCGACCATGACGGTTGTGACCCGAAATGCCGGGGCCGTGCCACACGCCCGGGAGTCACGTTCGCTTCTTATCCATCATTAAAGCTCAGCTCAGCCCGAGCCAAGGCCCAGCTTAGTGGGGCCGGGATGGGGGCCCGCGGGGTGGTGCCCACGGGGAGATGTGGGGCGGAGGCCCGTGGGGTGCCGCGTGGGGTGCCGTGGTCCCTGTGGGCCTTGTGCTGCTTGCGTGGCCACGGTGCTGTGCAGGGTTACAGCTCAGCGCGGGGGGGGCTGCGAGGGGGAGGCACGTGGGGCAGCGAGGTGGCATGTGGGGCTGCAACGGTGCCTGGGGAGGGGGGGGGGGGGCTGCAGTGGCAAGTGAGGGGGTTGCAGGGGGAGCATGTGGGGTTGCAGGGGAGCTTGGGGGGCTGCAACGGTGCCTTTGGGGGGCTGCAGTGGCACGTGGGGGGTTGCAGGGGTGAACGTGAGGTTGCGATGGAACATTTGGGGCTTCAACGGTGCCCGGGGGGGGCTGCAGTGGCACGTGGGGGGTTACAGGGGGAGCATGTGGGGCTGCAGGGGAGGATGGGGGGGCTACAGTGGTGCTTATGGGGTTGCAGCGGTGCCCGTGGGAGGTTGCAGGGATGCACATGAGGTTACAACAGGACGTGGGGGGCTGCAGGGGAGCATGGGGGGGGCTGCAAGGGAGCATGGAGGGGGCTGCAGTGGTGCTTACAGGGTTGCGACGGTGCCCGTGGGGGGGCTGCACGTTGCTACGACGGCCCCCGGGGGCTGATGCTGCGCCGGGGTGTGACGCTGAGTGGGGCAGTGACACCCCGAGGAGCCAGAGATGCTCCGTGGGGTCGCGGGGCACCCCTTTACCCCCCAACTTCCGAGCCCACCCGCGGTCCCCCGCGGCATCTGCCGGCCCCCGTGGCCGCGGCGTCTCGCCGGGCCGGGCCGAGCCCCTCACCGAGCGCCCCGTCGGGGCGGCCGTGCCCGCAGACGGCGCTACCGAGCCCGGCCCGGCCCCGCCGGGCTCCGCCGGCCCCTTCCGAGGGGGCGGCGCCGGGGCCGCGATCGGGCTCCGCCGCCCCACGGGGCCGCCCGGCTCGGCCGCCCACCCGTGAGTGTCTGCGTGGGGTGTGTGTGTGGGGGGGTGGATGGGGATGGAGCGGGGAGGGGGGTCGCTGTCCCCGGGATGCTGCCGCCTTGTCGCGGGGTGCCGTCCCTCGGGGGGGTCCCGGTGCCCGGGGTGGTTGCTCCCCCTGGCAGGGTGGGATGGAGGGGGGGGGTGTCGGGGGTGTAGTTTGGGGGAGCAGGCAGCCCGTCCCGCAGGTGTTGTCCCCACGGCCCCCGCGGCTCCTGGCATCGCTTGTCACCCGTGGTCACGCCTCGTGGGGTGCCAGGCGGCACCGCCAGCCGCCACGGCCACAAAAGCATCGCTGTGAGGGGGGAGCGGAGCCCGGCCGGAGCAGGGGAGAGGTGGGGGGCAGGGGAGGGGGGCGGGGGACAGGAGAGGGGGTACAGGGGACGGAGGAGGGGTTCAGGGGACAGGAGAGGGGTTCAGGGGACAGAGGGGGGGGTGCAGGGGACAGGAGAGGGGGTACAGGGGACAGAGGGATGTGCAGGGGATGGGGTGGGGTGCAAGGGACTGAGGGGGGGGTGCAAGGGACAGAGGGGGGATGCAGGAGATGGGATGGGGTGCCGGAGACAAAGAGGGGGTACAGGGGACAGGAGAGGGGTGCAGGGGACAGAGGGGGGCTGAAGGGGATGAAGTGGGGTGCAGGGGACAGAGGAGGGGTGCGGGGGACAGGAGAGGGGGCGCAAGGGATGGGGTTGGGGTGCAGGGGGCAAAGAGGGGGTACAGGGGATGGAGTGGGGCTGCAGGGGACAGAGGGGGGGTGCAAGGGACAGGGGTGGGGTACAGAGGACAGAGCCGGGAGTGTGGGGGACAGGGGTGGGGTGCTGGGGATGGGAGTGGAGTCAGGGGACAGAGGAGGGGTGCAGGACTGTTGGGGAGCCCGGGGGTCGTGCCCAGCAGGGGTGTCGGGGTCCCCAGGGGCGGCAGACCTCTCTGCCCAGAGATGCTGAGCGTGCCGGGCATGGGGAGGGGGGTTTGGGGTTTCCTCCCGGCGCTGCGAAGCCCAGCCCAGGAAATTCTTCCGGGCAGCTTCTCAAGCCCCTCTTTGTGCGCTTGGGATTTTTAAAATGCCTTCCCCGGCGGTTGCGGACGGGGTGCCGGGCTCCCGCGGCCCCCCCGGGGCTGTGCCGGCGAGCTCGGGCCCGGCTGCGCTGCCGGCTGCGGCGGGACGGGACGGGACGTGGCCGAGCTGGTGCCGGGCAGGGAGAAGCGATGCCAAACTGGACATTTCGGGGAGGGGGGCTGCCCATTCCCAGCCGATCCCATTGAAGCCGGGGGCTGCTGTGCTTTCTGGGGTGCCCTGGGGACCCCCTGTTACCCCCCGGGGGGATCCTCAGCATCCTTTACCGGCATGGCTAAGGACGAAGGGCTCGGGGGGGGTGGTGCTTGCACCCCCGCTGTGTGTCCAGCCCCCCGTCCCCGCAGCGGGGTCCTTCCCTTGCCCCTCCAAAAACCAAGGCCTGGCTCTGCCGTGCCGTGCCACGAGCTGTCGTGCCACCGATTTCCTGCCTTGCACAAGGCCCGCGGGGTGGGTGGGGGAGCTGGTGAGGTGACCTCGCCTGCCCCGTCCCACCATCACGGGGTGCCTGGGACCCCCCTGTCCCCCAGGCAGCCGGGGGGTGTGGGGGGCTACGACTCGGCGGAGGAGGAAGCTGGGGGACACTGGGGCAGCAAGAGGAAGCGGCAGCGGCTGCCGGCACCCTGCGAGTTTGTGAGGCTGTGGGTCCCCTCCCCGGAAGGAAAGCGCTGCCGGTCTCCATCGGTCTGGTGACCCTCGGGGTGCAGGGCTGGGGGGGGGGGAGCGGTGGAGGGGCGGTGGGGTGCAAGGGAGACGGGGAGGGGGAAGGCCACCAGTGGGTGGTCTGCCGGGCTGTGCCTCGTGGAGGAAGGAGAGAGCCCTCCTCTGCCTCGTCCCCTCGGCACCCCGGGGGGGTTCCTCACGCCGCCGCTCCCTTCCCACCCAGAACTTCCCGCTGCCATGCCGGTGACGGTGACCTTGGCCGGCCCGGCCCCCTGGGGCTTCCGCATCACGGGGGGAAGAGATTTTGGGAAGCCCATCACCGTCTCCAAGGTAGGAGCTCCCCCCCCACACACCTCCATGTGTCCCCTGGCCCCGGGGAGCGCTGCTGGGGCGGGTGCCGTGCCAGGCTGCTCCGGGGAGCCGATCCTGTTTACTGTCCTTGAGGGATCCTGCTCCGTGGGAACGGCCCCACGGCGGGTGACAACGGCGTGGGGGCTCGTGCCGCCGCTGGGCTGGGTAGGGCTACGCTGTTTCCAGCTGTTGTTGCCGTGGCCTTGGTCCCCTCTCGTCGGTGCACACCCCGGCAGAGGGTCTGGCATTGTTTTGGCAGGGCCGTGGGGACCACGGTGGGTGGGAGCATCCCGGTGGGGGTGGGATGTGGGGACCGACACCGAGCTGGTGTCACCCGACGGCGTGCCAGGACCTCGGCGACGCACGAGGGTTGCCCGTGGGGATGCTGCGCTGCTTCCCTCCGGCGTGCGCGGGGCCGAGGGAGCGCTGGTGTTGGGGCTCGCTGCCCCCAGCACCTCCGAGATAACGCGGGGGCTGTCCCCACGTCCCCCCTGCTCCTCGGAGGTGGCGGAGCACGGGAAGGCGGCCGCGGGCGACCTCCGGCCGGGGGACGTCATCGTCACCATCAACGGGGAGAGCGCGGCCGAGATGCTCAACGTGGAGGCGCAGAATAAGATCAAGCAGAGCCCCGGGCGGCTCCAGCTGCAGGTGGAGAGGTGGGTGCTGTGATGGGTGCTGTGATGGGGGGGGGGGGGGTGTAGCAGCTTAGACGCCTGGGTGCCCAGCCCCAGGGGACCCGGCGCTGGCTGGGGTCCCCAACCACGTGTGTGCCGGTTGTTTTTCCCCCCTCCGGCAACTCCCGGGGCTGCGCCATCCCCACGGGAGCCTGTCCTGGCTCTGTAATTAAAGAGTCAGGTGGTAACGAGGCCGGGTAGCCCTGGCAGCCGTTACCTGGCTGACTGGTCCCAGTTGGGGACCTGGGGCTGCTGCCTCTTGCCGCCACCCCGGGGGGGCTGCAGGGGAATGGGCATGCCACGGATGCAGAGGGGCTGCTGGCTCCTGGGGCAGATGCAGGACCCCCCCCCCTCCCCTTCTCCCTCGGTCCCCAGGGCCCCGATGTCACTTCCCAGCCACACCAACGGGGACACCTCGCCGGAGAGGCTGGCCACACGCTTCCAGGTGAGCCCCGCCAGCCCCCCCATACCCTCCTCCCCCCACCCCGCCCCAGGGCTGATTTCAGCTGCTGGCATCACCCTGTCCCCCCTTCCAGGACACGCTGCGGATGCAGGAAGAGAGCCAGGGTGCCCTGAGAGCCTCCTGCTCCAGCCTGGCATCCCTCACCCCGCCGCCAGGCAGCAGCAGGTAAGGTGGGACCTGCTGGAGGGGGGGGCTGTGGGGTGGGCAGGGGTCCGGGCACGGCAGGGACTCTCCTGATGGCTCCGTTCTCTCCCCTCAGCTCGCAGCCCTCGGAGGAGCAGTTCGTCTGTCCTGGCCTCTGCCAGGTGAGCAGGGAGCTGGGGGGATGTGGGGAGCCGGGCAGAGGTTCGGGGGGGGGGGGGATCTGTGCACCATCACCTCTTGCAGCCCCAACCCAATCCCCCATTGCAGCCCCAAACCATCCCCCATTGCAGCCCCAAATTATTGCCCTATGCAACCCTAAACCATCCCCCTTTGCAACCCCAAACCATCACCCCTTGTAGCCCCAAACCATCACCCTTCGCAGCCCCAAACCACTGCCCCTTGCAACCCCGAACCATCCCTTCTTTTAGCCCCAAACCATCCCCCTTTGCAGCCCCAAACCATCCCCCATTACAGCCCCAAACCATTCCCTTTTGCAGCCCCAAACCATTGCCCCTCGAAACCCCAAACCACCCCCCATTGCAACCCCAAACCATCACCTCCTGTAGCCCCATAGCATCCCCCTCTGCAACCCTAAACTATCCCCTTTTGCAACCCCAAACCGTCATCTCTTGTAGCCCAGAACCATCCCCCACTACAGCCCCAAACCATTCCCGTTTGCAGCCCCAAACCATCACCCTTCGCAGCCCCAAACCATTGCCTCTTGAAACCCCAAACCGTCCCCCATTGCAGCCCCAAACCATCCCCCATTGCAGCCCCATTGCCACACTACCGCCAGCCCCTCTCTGCCTCGGGGACCCTCCTGCCACGCCACCGGTGCCGCCTCCCCGCCGCGCTGGCAGGCACCCCGGCCCCGCGGGCACCGGCACACCCGGCCAGGGATGTTTTCCTCGCTCCTACCCGACGCCTCTTGGCAACGGCGCCAGCCTGGGGAGGCTAAACCAGTTTGGGGAGGCCTAGCCCTGCTCCCACGAGCCCGGGGGGCGAGGTGGTGGTGGTGGTGGGGGGACGACTGGGGCGTTGGCAGGGCAGGGACCCGCAGCCCGGCGCACCCCCGGCAGTGCCCGCCGGCCTCTGTCGAGGGGAGATGCCCGGGATGCCCGGGGGCCCGGGTGCCTCCCTCACCGCCCGGACCGGTCCTGGGATGCCCGCAACCACCCCATCCCACCCCGCCGCGGTTTCGGGCGGCTGCTGCACCCCACGGGGCAGCCGCTGGCTCCGGAGTTGGCGTCTCCCTCCTCTCCTCCCTCCCCGTTTTCTTTTTTTCTCTTGTTTTTCAAGCCCAAATCGGGAAGCGCGGTGGCCCTGAGCACGGCCCTTCCCAGCTGCCTTTGGCCGTGGCCCCGGCCGCCCCTTGGCTCCTCCAGCCGCCCGCTCCCTCCTTCCTCCCCAGCCCTTTATTTGCTTTGGTGCCGGCCCCAGAGGGTCCCTCCCTGTCCCGGAGCCCCCCCACTGCGGGGCTGGGGCTGTGCCCAAAACCCCCTGCCCACAGGGGAAGGGCTGCCCTTGGACGGCGCTTTTTGTCGCATCCCAGGGCGGGTTGGTACTAGCGGGGACGAAGCCAAGACGCCCAGCTCCACCCGTGCCTAATTTTAGCTCGTCCCTCGCCTGCTCGTGATCCCGGAGAGGCCCGGCGCTGCCCCACTCCCTCTCCGCGGGGTTTTGGGCAGGGGCTCCTTTTCCTCATCCCCTTTCCCGGGCTCTTGCTGGGGCTTTGCATCTGCGTGGCGGCTGCTCCCGGGAACATCGGCTTCCACTTAGCCGGGGTTTCGCCTTTCCTGCCTCGCCGAGGCCGCTAAGCAGGAGCAGATGCCGGGGAAGGGACGGGCGCAGGCGCAGGGTTACCGGGGTGGGGAGCAGTGGGGGTGCTGCCCTCAGCCCCCCCCGACATCCCGCTGGCCCCAGCCTGGGAGGGTAGGAGAAGCGGGTGCCCCATGCAGAGCCTTGGAGCATCCCTGCCTCCCTCCTGGGGAGGGGGACGGAGCACCCACCCCTTTGGGGACCCGGGCTTGGGAAAGACCAAGGGTGTCCCCAGGGGGCCCAGGAGGAGAGGGGGGGTCTGCAGTCACCCTCCCCTGCGCTCTGCCCTGGAGATGCCACGCTCGCCGCCCCCGCCGGGCTTGGGATATGTTGAGGGGGCTAATGCCACCCCCGCCAAAAGGTACCCAGCACCTCTCTCCCCCCACCCCTAGCAGGAGCGAGGAAGCCTGAGCCACCAGAACAGCTCCCCGGGGTCAATCTTGCCTCCACCCCCCCCGCGCCCACCCTCACCGGGGCTCGGGGCCCCCCCAAACCCTTGGGAGACGTGCAGAGAGCAGCGCCGCTCCTCATCCTCTCCCAGCCCTTGCAACAGGTACGGAGCGAGCTCGGGGTTGGGGAGGGGGGGGACACGTAGAGGTGGGGAAGCCCCCATCCCTCACCCCCCGCCCCCCCCAGCACCTATCCCAAAGGGTGCTGCCTTGCCGAGGGAGCCCGTGGAAAGAGTTAACCCACCTGCGAGGCAGGTAGGGCCGTGGGAGGGCCGGGCAGGCTGGGGCAGCTCCCCAGGGTGGAGGGAGCAGGTGGCGGGGTGCAATTCGGCAGACCCGGGTGCTGGGACAACCCCTTAACCCCCTCTAAAATCCCCCTTCCCCCCCCCCCCCCCCCCAAACCCTGGGGTACCATCCCACAGCCTGGGCTCGGAGCCGGCCATGCGGCGCTTGGAAGAGGATTCGGAGGTTTACAAGATGCTGCAGGAGAACCGGGAGCTGCGGGCGGCCCCGCGGCAGTCCAGCACCTTCCACCGGCTGCAGGAGGCTCTGGAGGACGAGGGCGGAGGTGAGGGGGGGGGTCCTGGGTGGGTGGGGGTGAGGGGGACATGGGTACGGCCGGGGTGGTGGCGGGACCCTGATGGTTTCATCTCCCCGCAGCCGGCCTTGCAGCCCCCTTCCCCAGCCGGCTCTCGCCCAGCGCCCGCAAACCCGTGGCCGGCGTCCAGAAGCTGCACGTCTGCGAGAAATGCGGCAGCACCATCGCGTGAGTCGGCCCTGCCATCCCTCCCTGCGGGGCCAAAAGGAGGTTGATCCATAACAGGGTAAAGAGGGGACCCCAGAGAGAGGGGGTGCCCCGCTGATGCCCCCCCAACCTGTTTCCCCCAGGACGCAGGCGGTGCGGATCCAGGACGGCCGGTACCGGCACTCATCCTGCTACGCCTGCGCCGACTGCGGCCTCAACCTGAAGATGCGGGGTCACTTCTGGGTGGGGGACGAGCTCTACTGCGAGAAACACGCCCGCCTGCGCTACCAGGGCCCCCCGGGGGGGCCCGTCACCCCCTCTGTGTCCCCCCACTCCTGAGCCCCAGGCACCGGCGCGGCGCGACGGGGAGCTCGCTGCCTGCCCCGCCTCGTGTCCCGGGGAGCAGAGCGCACCCCGAACCCCCCGTTCTGGGGTGTCCCACCGCTGCTTTGGTAGGGTGGGGGGTCTGCGTTTAAGGGGGGGTGGGTGTTTGGGTTGGGGGCGTCACCGGGTTGAGGCGGGGGATGCGCTGCAGCTGCCCGCCTTTGCCCCTGCTGTGCCAGTGCGTGTGATGAGCTGGGTTGGTTCTCAGCCTGGGCTGCAGCAAGCCTGGGGACATGGCGGGGGGGGGGGGGGGGGGAGGCACGGGGGGGGCACAGGGACGCTTGAGCACTTAGGTACTGGAGAGGGGGCTGGCACCGCTTTGTACACTGACTGCAAAGGGCTTCTCTGAGATATTAAACCAGATCTCTATATAAATATAATATATATTTGCTCTGCTCCCATGTCTGGTCTGTGCGGGGCGAGGGGGGGGCTGGTAGCAGGCACCCCAGCCCCCGCCACCCTCCTGCCTGCACCCGTAGCAGCAGTGGGGAGCTGGAAAGTGAGGGGGGGGGGGGGGGTCCAGGGCTTGGCACATGACACGGTGCAAAGAAGCTGGACCCCCATGTAGGGGGCCGGTGCTCTGGTGATGCACGGGGCTCCGTGTCCTGCTCCCAGGAAGTTTGGGGCTCCCCATGGGGCCAGAGTGTTCCCTCCCTGCTCCCCGTGTCCCCGGGGGAGGTGTCAGGGTTTTATTGTGGGGTGTTGGCAGAGGGGGGGGGGAGGCCTTTGTCCTGTGGAGCCCCAGGTGGGCTCTTATCACCGCTCTCCGCCCTCCGTGCCTGTTTGCACGGTGATGGGCTTTGCTGTTATCTGGGCTTTGCCGTTATCTCCAGATCCCCACCCTCGCTCCTCTCCTCCCAGCTGCCCGATCCGCCCTTGGGGTGCGCTGAACACACCCCACCCCCCCACCCCACTATGTACCCAGTCTCACCCACTGAGGCACCAAATTCCAGCACCCCCCCCACACACACACCTCTCCCCAGGAAGGGTCAGCAACCGGGCCCTTTGCTGCCAAACACGTGTGGGTCTGTCCGTGCACCTGGGGGGGGGGGGGTGTCCCTGACATGTCCCATGCAAGCGGGGGGGGGGGGGCGCGGCTCAGTGCTCCACGCTCTTAGGACAGGGTGACTCTAATTCAACATCCCCAGGGAGGGAGGGAGGGATGGAGACGGTCCCGCCCTCCTTGTCAGCGTGGAAAAAGAGGAATAAACACTTTTCCCTCAGGGGGGAACCGGAGGGCGTGAAACCCCCACCCTGCCCCGGGGTAGCACAGCCCCAGGCTGAGGCTGGGGGCAAAGGGGACCCCCCCCCCCCCCCCGCCCCGCCCCGGGGTTGTGCCGCCCCATAGCCCAGCCCCATAAAGCGGCGGAGGAGCAGCGGGGCCGCTCCCTCCGCCCTCCCCGGCCCCCGGTGCTCCCTCCCCGGCCCCCGGTGCTCCTTCCCCGGCCCCCGGTGCTCCCTCCCCGGCCCCCGGTGCTCCCTCCCCGGCCCCCGGTTCAGCCCTGCCTGGGGATGCTCCGCCGCCGCGGAGCCTTCAGCCTAGAGCCGCTCCGCGGCCGCGGTGAGTCGGTGGCCCCTGGGGTTATGGGGGACCCCCATGGAGATCAGCGACGGGGCGGGGGGGGGCTCCCCCTGGGGTCTGAGCTAAACTGGGGGACCCCCAGGGTCTCCAGCCTGCGAGGTCCGTGCTGGAGGGCATCCTCAAGGATCCCTAATTTTGTGAGGGGGGCGTTCTGTGCAGGAGTGGGGGCCCTAGTGCCTCCCGGTTTGTGGTGTCTGTGCTGAAGGGGGGGACTCTGGACCCCCCCAGTTTGTGGCCCCTGTGCTGGGAGGGGCCGAGGGTGCTGGCTGTACTGGGAATTCAAACCAGGTGTGGCCTTCCAGTGTCGGGGCTGATGGGCCTGTACTGGGGTTGAACCCCCTGGGTCCCCCCAGAAACCCCCAGCCCATCTATATCATCCCCCCCCACACCCCCCAGTTCAGCCTGTGCTGGGAACCCCTTCCAGCGGCAAAGGCTAGGAGGTACTGGGGGGGTCTGAGCTGGAGCTACAGAATCAGGGGGCCCCCAGCATGGTGGCAGCTCCCACAGGGGAAGATTTAGCTCTCCTGGTGATGGGGAGCCCCCCCCCCCGTGCCCCTTCGCACCCCCAGGGGGGCTCTGACCCCCTGTGAATCCCCCGTGTTGGCGAGACAAACGCTGCAGCTGGGGCGGGGGGGGGTGGGGAGAGGAGTGTGAAACCAGCCTCTCGGCCCGTGGGGCCGTCCCGGCAGCCCGTGGAAATGCTGCGCGTGGGAGCAGGGCGGCTGTGCCGGGGCGGAGGGGCCGTCGTGTCCCCCCCCCCCCCGGCATTGCTGGGATTCATGCGGGCGCTGAACGGCAGGATTGTCCGCCGGGATTATCCGCGGGCGCCGGCCTCGCCAACCCAACCAGGGATGTGCGGTGAGTGGCCTCCAGCCCCCCCCCCCCCCCCCCCCGGGGAGAGGAGCAGGAATTTGGGATCACCGGAGCCCCTCGACGGGTGAATTGGATCCAAACTGAGTGGGATTTCCCAAATAATTCACGCAGCACCCAGCTGGCGGCCCGCCGGTGGCCAAATAACTCTCGCCTAGTTGGGGTGGGAAGGGAGCCCTTAACCACCGGCTCAGCCAGTATCGCCGATCCCAAATCCCAAAAGGAACCAGTTGGGAACCAGTCCTGTAATGAGGTGCCTCTGGATACAGGGCCCCGTCGCCGGCTGGGGTGGCTATAAAAGGGAGCGCCGGGACGCGCGCCCGGCAGTCGGCTCCGGCTCTCGGCGATGTGGGGTGGCTCCCGCGCTGTCTGGAAGAGGAGGTTCAGCTGCTGTGAGTTCTTGGGGGGGAGGCGGGGGGGGAGGATGAGCTTCTGAGCAGGGGTTTTTGGGGGGTGGGGGGGGGGTGGGGGGCGGCTCTGCACCCCGAGTCAAGCGCCGGGAGGGTGCCAAAGCTTCGCTCCCCACCTCCCCGAACCCTCTTGCCGTGGCCTGGATGGGAAGGGAGGTGAGTGTGGGTGTAAGGAGGGCTGAGAGTGAGCCCCCACCACGCTGCAATCCCACCCTGAGTGATGGCCGGCGGTGGCCCCCCACCCCCCCCAAATCTGAAGGGCCAAGTTCAAGGAGCCGGTGGTCCCTGGAGCCATCCTGGGGCTGCAGGAGCAGCTGGAGTGACTCAGGGAGGGGCTGGGGGGGGGGGGGGGGAGGGGGGGTGGGTGAGCACCCCGTCCTAACTCTGCCCCCCCACCCCAACCCAACACCACCCGGCCTCCCTCGCCCCACAGATGGTCCCTGGGAGACGGCGGAGAGCTGCGTGGTGAGCACCTCCGCCAGCGTCTACCGCCGGTTGCAGGAGAGCCCGCGGCAGCCCCCGGCGGGGGGGATGAGCACCTGGGGGCCCCCCCCACCGCCACCCCTCTCCCCCAGCAGCCCCCCGGCAAGCGGGCGGCTCCTCAAGTCCGAATCGGAGGACTCCGGGGTGGAGATGGCCAGCAACGAGCACTCGCCTTCCACCCCCCTGGGCTCCGAGAGCAGCTTCTCCCTCGACGGTTTCCCACCGGGGAAGAGCCCCCCCGGGGAAGAACCGGGCACGGAGCCCCCCCGGGCCCCCCGCAGCCGCTCGGCCAGCAAGAAACTGGTGCAGGCAGCGCAGCGGAGCAGGAGGCAGCGGGTGCCCGGGCGCTGCCGACGCAGCACCAGCGCGGCAGAGCCGGCGTGGGACCCCGAGGAGCCCAGTGCTGAGGACCCCGAGGGAGCGGTGTGTGCTGGGGGAGCTGGGGGGGGGCTTGGGGGGGGTTGTTTATCCCCCTCTTCGGTAGCCCTTGAGCCCCCCCCTGGTTTGCCCGCAGGCCGTGCCGGGACAGGGGTTGAGGTATTTGGAGCACGTCTGCCAGATGCTGGAGCGCCTGGCCCGGCTGCAGCAGGACAACCGGCTGCTCCGGCAACAGGCGGCGGATGCCCGGCACACCCGCCCTGACACCACGGTGAGGGGCTGGGGGATGGAGGGCGGGGGGGGGATGAGGGTTGGGAGGTGTGTGGTGGTGATGGGAGCCGGGGGGGGGGGGGGGGGGGGGGGGGGGCGAATCCCAGCTCACCCCCAGCCTCTCCTCACCCACAGCCCACCCAGGAGCCGCGGGGGCAGGATCGGGCCCTGTGGAGGTTCCGGCCGCGCTCCTGCTCGGACAGCCAGGCACCAGGTGAGCGGGGTGGGATATGGGGATGGGGGGGGGGGGGGGGGGGCGGGCAATGTCCGGCCGGACCCCCACACTGGCTTTGTGTTCCCCCCCCCCCCACCCCCTTGTCACACAGCGCCTGACCCCGGGCCGTGCCGGAGGCCGTGGGGGCACTCGGCCAGTTCCCCCAGTCTGCTGGACCCCTCAGAGAGTGGGGCAGGAGCCCCGACACCGGACAAGGTAGGGGCCGGGGGTTGGTGGGGTGAGGTGGGGGGTGTGGGGGGGTGTCCCACGGCCCCCCCCCTCGCTGACAGCTGTGTCCCCCCCCTCTCCCTGGCAGGACGGGCGCTCGCAGTGGGGCCGGGTGAAGGTGCTGCTCACCCGCCTGACCCGCCGCTCGCTGCGGGGTGGCCGCTGCAGGTAGGGCCGGGGGGGGGTGTGTCGTCTCCCCCCCCCCCCCCCCCCCCCCCCGAGCCCCCCATCCCGCTGCCATCCCTGGATGGAGAAACTTCACTGCACCTCATCGCACCTATTGCATCACGCTTCTTGCATCACACCCCGCCGTATGACATCACGCCCACCCGGGGCCGGTCCCCCCCGCCACCCCTTCACCCTTTTTTTTTTTTTTTCCCCCCCCCCCATAATAAAGCCTTTTCAGTGCCAAAGAGGTGGCTCTTTGCAAGGTGATGTGAAGTTGCGCGGTGACGTCACTCTCCTTGACCCGGCGTGACGTCACGAGGGGGCGCGTCACGGTCGCGTCACTTCCGACGGCTTTCCCCACTCCTTTTGTCCGCCCGGCCCCGGTCCCGCGGCCCCCTTCAAGCTGCTGCATCCCCCCTCCCACATCGCCCCCGGGGCAGGGTGGGCTCCGCGGGGGGGGGGGGGTCCAGCTACCTCGGGGGGGGGGCCCTAAAGCTTGTCCTCCCCCTCCCCAAGAGCTCCCTGCTGAGCCCCCTGTTCCCCCGCTGAGCTGCTGCTGCAGGTGGGTGGGGAGGGGGTGCCGGGGGTGGGTGTGGGGGGTTCCCTGCCGAATTGGGGACCCCGGTCGCATCGCAGGTGGGGGACAAGGTGGTTCACAGCCCGCAGGAGTGTTTGGGGGGGGGGGGTGGGGGTGTGGATGAAGGAGGTGGTCTTCCAGGAGGGGGGCTGGGCTGGGGGGATGCTTCGCTGCGGTGTTTTTGGTGCTGCTGGAGCCCCTCATCCTCTCGTCGGGTCTGCGTGGCGAAGGGCCGGGTACCGCAGGGGGAGGAAGATGCTGGTGAAAGCTGCCTGCAGCCCCAGCCAGGTGCTCTCCAACCAGGTACCCCCGTTATCCCCTCCATCCCCCCTCTTTCCTAGCGATTTCCTACTATGACTTGTGTTTGTGTGGGTTTTTTGTTTTGTTTTCTTTTTTTTTTTTTTTTTTTTTTCCCCCCCTTCCCGGCAGCGTACCCCGAGACCCCCGGCTCTGCTCCCACCTGTGTCACCCCTGGGCTGCAGCAGAGCATCCCCGGAGCCCGGCCCCAGCCTCCTGCATCCCACCGCTCCTTCCCTGGAGACGTGAGTGCTCATCCCTCACGCGGGGGATGGGTCCTGGCACCGAGGGGTGGGTGGGGGGGTCTCTGACCCCGGGAAGGGCTGGCTGTGAGCACAGCGTGATGAGGGGATGCTGTAGGTGGTTAGGTTTTCCTGGGTGGTGCCACGGGGGGTATTAGGATCTTTGTTTCCCTTCCTCCCCACCAGCAAACCTCCTGCCATCACCCCCAGTCCGCTCACCTGAGCCACCTGGGGAGATGCCCAGGGCGGGGGTGACTCGGGCAAATGGGGGGTGACAGGGACGTGTGTCCCCGCCGTGGGGTGGGCATCTGGGCAGCCCCCTCCCCTGCTGCCCTGCACCGCCCGGTGCCTTTTGGAGCACAAAACGCTCACCGGGGCCAGACCTTAATACGTGGGGCCGTTCCCTACTGGGTGCTGTGGCCACGTAGTTGTGTTTTGGGTGGGATATTTGTGGTCAGAGAGGATCTCTCTGGTTTCTGTAAGCCTCGGGGCAGCCAGGGGACTGTTTTCGGGTGAGCCCCCTCGGCACAGTTCTCTGCCTCCGGCCCATTCTGTGATACCAGGGAGAGGCGTCCGGCTGCCCCGCGGCTTCTGCCCCCTCCGACACCCCCCCAGCTGCATCCTGACCCCGAGGAGGATGCTGAGGCCACTCCGGATGATGCTGATTCTGCTTTCAGGGCCAAGGTGAGGAGGGGAGGGAGGTCTGCTCTGGGAACAGGCGATGGCCCCGGTGCCACCGGATCGCCCGGAGTTAAGGGAAGGCACCCAACAAAAAAAACTGAGGTGTGGACCCAGGCGTGCGCTAGACTGGGCAGACCTGGCTTAATTCACCCAATTTTGGGGGGAAAGCCCTTGGGATGGGTGGTGTGGGCTCATCGGCGGTTACCGCCAGACTGGTGGTGGGATGGTGACTGGAAAAGCTGGCCGTGGGCCCAGGGGGTCTTGTCCCCAAGAGGGATGGGGGCTTTGGGGAGGAAGGGGGACAGTCGGGAAGCTGCGACGCGACCAGGCTCACCACCCGTCTCTGCCTAGTCCCTGCCAGGGAGAAAAGGGGATGAAGTTGTGCTCGGCGGCGGGGAATGGTCCTTCTCAGGGGATGGCCCCATCCTGACACTGACCCCGCGGTCCTGGTGTGCACGGCACAGGCTGGGCTGGAGCTGAGCACGAAGCGGTGAGTGCCACCAGCTCTCGGGCATCTCTGAGCAGCGGCGTCCCTTCCCTCTGCTTTTTCGGAGGTCGGAGTGCTGACACGCTTCACCCCGCACCGCTCCAGAAATCGAGGCTGAGCGCACACCACACTGTAGAGTTAATTTTCCCTTTCTCCCTATTAACGCTGGGAGCTTGTGGGTGGTGCGAGAAACCAGTAATTATCCACTTTTACTATCGAAGATGGAGTCCTCCTCCCCAGCCTGGTGCGGAGAGTGCGCAGACCCGGCCCTGGCAAAGAGCTGCTTGTTCAGGAGCAGGTTTCCAGACGAGAGCGGAGTTTGCGCCGCCGGGAACGCTCGGGTTTGGTTTCCGTTGGGTGAAATCCCTCTCTCGAGCGTGCAGGGACGGCAGGAGGAGCTGACGGCACAGAGCTGGGCTTTGCTGAGCAGGGCCTAAGGATGGGTGGCTGTGTGCTGGATGGAGGAGAGGCAGGTCGCCGGGGATTCGGTGGCGGGGGACGGTCTGCAGCCCGGCACGGGGCGACACGGCCATATGCGGATGAAGCCACAGGGATTTCAGAGAGCCCGGGTGGGGTTTAATCCAGCTGCAACGAGGAATGTGGCAACTCCCAGCCGTGGAGCCCGGGGCCCTGCAGCCCACCCACTGACCCCTGCCCACCCGGCGTGGGGTCTGCCAGGGGCTCAGCTCGTGGAAAAGCGTGGCCCTGGCTCGGGCGCCTGGGCTCGGCTCCGTGCATGGCAGTAGTTAAATATAGCATCCCTGCTCCGGGTAACCGTGGCAACTGATTTTTATTTTGCTTAAACCTGGCCCGGCATGTGATGCGGTTGGGAAGGAACAGCTGAGGGGGGATGAAGTTCTCCGCGCTGCGGGAGGAGGCGCTTGGCTCGGTCCCAGTCGGCGACTCTCCGGGATCCGGGCCGGGGATGCGCTGGGGTTGGGGGCCTCGCTCCGTGTCCCTGCGGACGGCCTCGCTGGGGACAGTCACCAGCCTTTCCCGTGGCCTGGCGGGGCTCCGGTCCCATCCCCTTCACTCCCATCTTCGCAGCCTCCCTGCCAGCAGCGGGAAGGTTTTAGTCGGGGTCCAGCTCTCCGCTTTCTGCTGGGCTTCCCGGGGTGCGCCTCACCCCTGTTCCCTGCCACGCCGCGGGGTCCCGTTTGCCAAATTCAGGTACCGGTGGGAGGTGGTGGCGATTTTCCTGCTGGATGTCGGGGGGGGGGACTCCCTGGAGCAGCGGGGAGCCTCGTGCCAGCCCAAGGTGGAGAAGGGACCCCGCTGCCTCCCTTGCTGAGGAGGTCGCTGAGGCTTTGCCGCGGTGACGCCGGGTGCCGTGCCAGCTCCGCCGCCCCGAAAGCCCGTTTCATTTTCTGCAGGTGCTTGGACAAGGCTGTGTTTTAGAGAAGGCGAGGTCCCGCTCCGGGTTGACAGCTCCCAGCACCTTCCCCGTCCTGCTCCCACCTAAACAGAGCGGTTTTTAGCAGGAGATAGAGGCCCCTGAGCAGCACATGGTGGCCACAGGACCACTGAGCTACCCCCTGGAGAACCAGCCCTCCTGGCTCATCCCCACCCGGCCAGGCATCATCTCCCTCCTCACCCTGCTGCCGTGCAGGAGGCAGGGGGGGGGAAGCTCCCCTCCGAAGGCAGGCAGGTCCCCTGTGCCCCCCTTCCCTCCCCAAATGGCCATGATGGTGATGTTCCAGCAGCGGGATTTTTGGCTACGAGTGTTACAAGGCGCCGCTGGATTTTGCTGGAGAAGGGACATCGGGAACCCGGAGCCACTAAAGCGCTGCTGGAGCGGTGGAGGAGGCGGCTGAGCAGACGTGGGTACGTAGCCAGGGGGGAACCCCACGTCCCTGGTGCAATCCTGGGGACAGCCTGCACCCCGCTCCGCAGCACCATTTTTTGGGGGGGAGCTCGGCCTTCTCCCATCCTTCATGCACGCCTGCGTTTCAGCAGCCCAAGGCTCCGGAGCCAAGCGCTGTCCTGCCCCTGGACGCTCTCCTAGCCTTTGTCTACTTTGATTGGGAATTTCTGTGGCTACCCGCACCGAATGGAAGCGGGGGGCTGCTCGGCAGGTGGAGGGAGGATGTTTGGGGGGCGTAGGGGGGGGTGACGGGTTGTTCTTCTTCCAGGAAACCTCCCTCTTCTGCCTCCTGCCCTGGCCCACATCCCCCACAGCGTCACGGTGCTCGACGCGGGGGGGGGAAAAGCAAAGCCAACCCTCCCTGGCGAGCAAAATCCCCAGCTCCCTGGAGATCGAGCTGGGTCAACTGGGGCGAGAAGTGCTGGGACAGTGGGGTGCTGTCTCTGCGAGCTGCCGCTCACCCCCTCTCCTCTTTTCTAGACTAACGACTCCTCCGATGAGGAACCAGCATCCGCCGGGTTTCTACCAGGAGAGAGCAAAGTCCCTGCCTGGGTGTCCTGTCGCGGGTGGCACCGGGGTCCCCGTGACCCTTTTCTGCCCCGGCCCCCTCCCTGTGGAGCTGGGCTTGAGCTGGCTCCCACCCCTGGAGCCAGGGCAGCCGTAGGGGTTTGCTCCTGCCCCGTTATTCGTGTTTAATGGCAACCTCTTAATCAGGAAACCTTGCGGGGGTTGGAGACACCCCGTCTCGGCGCTCTGAGCCGACACTGCAGGTGGGGCCAGGCTGGCTGGGTTAGGATGGAGGGACTCAAAGAGCAGGGGGGGTGCTGCCCATAGCAGAGTCCTTCACCACAAGCGCCAACCCCAAAACTGCCTTCAGCCCCTTGTCCCAGGACTCCCCCACCCCCCTCCCTACGCTCTAATTCGCTCTATTCCACTGTAAAAATTGTATTTCTCGTGCTTTGCTGAAGCTGTTTCCTCTCTGCGTCTCTCCAGGGGCTGTTCAACCCCATTTCTTTTTCCCACCCCCCCTCCATCCCTTTAATACCTTTCTGAAAACGACACCAGCGCTCTGCTGGAGTCGGGGTGGGGGGGGGGTGTCCGTGCCAGCCCACGGGGGAGCGTGTCCCCGTGGGTGCCCCCGGCGCGGCAGTGGCTGCCCGGTGGCAGCAGAGGGCGGCAGCAGCCCGGCCTTGCCACCGCATCCCCCCCCCCAAACCACCCCGTGACACAGACCCCGGCCCTGCTCTGCCAAAAACTTTATTGGAGAAGAGCAGCGGGGCCCCTGTCCCCCCACTCTGGCTGTGGAGTTCCCCCCCCACCCCCCTCCAAGCCCCCCGGTTTTCCCTGGGTTGTATTTCCCTTTTGCATCCCGCCTTGTCTTCCCCTGCCCTGGGGTTTGGGCTTCCCGCCCCCCCCCCCGCCCTTTATCCCTCGGAGGGGGGCACCCATGGCTATGCAGATGTGCACACACACACACCCCCCCCCAGCTGTGGGGCAGAGGCACTTTTACACTGTTCCTGTTTTTAAACAGCTGATTTAGAGCTTGGCATCACTTGATGCTCGGCAGGGGAAGCGCAGCCCTTGCATCACCCTCTCCTGATGCCTCAAAAAATGGAATTTGAAAGTTTTTATCCTCCTTTCCCCGCTCCCCCGCCCTCCACCCGGGGGGTGGCTACTAAGGCACAAAATGAATGGCCCACCGGCAGGCGCAGGAGTGGCCCTGTCCTTCTGCTGGAGAAAGCAAAGAGCCTGGGCCCGATCCGGAGCTGGGGTGGGGGTGCTGTGGGCCTGGGAGCGGCTGGCAGCACCCAGCCCGCTCCCCATTTTCAGCTGAGCGGGGGCCCCCCCGCTTCCCTTCTCCGCTGCAAACCCCTATTTAAGGCAAAGCCTGGCTGCAGGTGGTGGGGGGGGGGGGGGGGGGCAGAGATAACGCAGATGTTGCACAGCTGGCTAGGGTAGGGGGGAGCCCTGCTGCGCCCCCGGCCCCAGGCAATACCTTGTCCTGGCAGGAGGGCAGAGCCACGGGGGCAAAGGGAGCAGCCAGCGGTTAAACCCCCCTGAGTCTGTTGCTGGGAGGGAGGAGACGGGGAGCAGCCCAGCTTGGGGGGCGCTGGCGGAACTGGGGGGGGGGGTGCTCCCCATCATCCCCCCCCATCATCCCCCCCCAGTGCTCAGTCATCGGCCACGATGGACAAAGCCCGCAGCTCGCTCAGCTTGGCGTCGTTCTCCCGCTCCCGTTGCTCATCGCTCAAGCCGGGCCGGTCGATCTGCGCTGTCAGGTCCCCAAAAATCTTGTGCATCTCCGTGTAGTACACAACCTGTTGGTAAGGGAGGAGAAAGGTTTTGGAAGCGGGCGGGGGGGGGGGGGGCGAAATTAGGTGGGGGGGGGGAGTCTCCTTTCCCCCCCCTCCCCGTGGGAGCCAAGAGGTGCGGCGCTGCCCGAGCCAGCCCCTCGCCTTAGCATTCCTGTTTCTAAAATAGCTTCCTCCCATGTGTTAATACCACCCCCTTAGATTATTACAACTCAACACATTTTAATAACACGCTGCCCTTCTCTGCTCGCTTCCCATCTGGGGAGCCCCGTGCGTGGGGGGGGGGATGCTGCCGGCACCCAGCACCGCCGTGCAGCCCCCCCTCCGTGTCCCAGCCGGGCTGACCCCCCCCCTCGCCTCTCGCCGGTGTCACCGGCACCGGGACGAGCCGCCCGATTCCGCAACAGGTCTCTGCTTCCCCGGAGCACGGGGCCAGGAGCATCGCGCCTGGCAGCATGAAGCAGGGGGAGAAAGATGGAGGGGGGGGGTGTGGGGGGGGGTGGTGTGTGTTTAATAATGTGCTAATTAGCACCGCCAATTAACTCTGGCAGCGAGCAGCGCTTTCCCCGGAGTGGGAGCCAGGGGGTCAGCGCAGGCAGATGGCACCGGGCTGCCTGCTCGGGCGCGGGCCTTCGCCGAAGGAGAGCTGTGGTGTCCTGGCTGCGGGTGGCGGGGGGGGGGGCACAGAGTCAGGCTCCCCCCTTCCCCAGGCTTTGGGGAGTAGGGGGGGGCTGCTGTGGCCCGAGGCAGGAAGGTGATGGGGGATGCCCTGACCTGGGCATCCCCCCCCCTTCCCCATTTCTGGCGGGGAGGGAATGAAGAAGCAGTGCCCCCCCCCCCCTCCCCGGGCTGGATGATGCCGGCGTTGCCCCCATTTCACAGAGGGGCACAGGCGAGGCTTGCGGGGCCGGCCCCAGCAGCTCCAGTGCGGAGACACACACCGTCTCCATGGAGACCGGTTCCCCTAATCTTCCTCAAAATGATGCTTATTTTGGGCAGGGCCGAGGGGAGATGTTGGGGACCCACACGCCTTTGCCAGCTGCCTGTATTCCCCCCCACCCCCCCCAATCCACCCATCCCGGGGTGCAGCGGGGGCTGCTCTGGGGCTGGTTCTCCCCACGCAGCGGGCGCCGGGTGATTCAGCATCCACGCTCATTTACACAGTGACTAACGAACCCCGCGCTGCGGCGGCAGGGCCGAGGAGCTCCGACGTGCCAGCAAGAACCCCCCCACCCCCCCCCCAAAAAAAAACCAAACCAAACCAAACCAAAAAAAAACAAACCCACAGCCCCGCCAGCCAGGTCACCCCAAAGCATCCTCCCCGCACCAGCAAGAGGTGTTGCCCTGAGCCGAAAACACCCGCGGGCACCGTAATCCCTTGGCAATGCCACAGGCAAGCACGAGCCCTGGGTGCCATTGGAACAGCCCCCCCCCCCCCCCCCCCCCCGCCACCGTGTCCCTTGTCCCCAACCCGGCGTCAGATGGGCTCGGTTCATTCACATATGGCCAAGCGGCGCTGCCAAATCCGGCACAGAAAAGGCACCGGCATGTTGAAACGAATCTCCCCCCGGGGTGGCAGGGCTGGAGGCAGCTGTGTGCAGCCGGGGGGAGCCGCATGTGTGTGTCCCCCCACCCCTGCTGTCCCCAAGGATTGTGTATGTGTGTGTGTGTGTGTGTGTCCCGCCCCACAAGCCCCGGGCACACACCAGCATCCCCGGCAGCATCTCCTCTGTTACTGAACGGGCAACGCAGAGCAAATATTTTGGTCGCTGCCCCCACCACCACCCACGTGCCACAGCCGAGGCCTTCCCGCGGGAGACGGAGTCCCCAAGGCCCAGGGGGGGGCTCTTCCCCCCCAGTAGGACCCAGCGCCTAACCAGTAAGCCGCCATCCGGGGCGTTCGCGTGCCTCGCCAGCCGAGTCTCCTGTGCTTTAGCAAAGGATCCCACAGGGATCGAGCCCCACCCCCAATGCTTTTCTCCCATTGAAATATGAGTGAAAAACCATCCCTGCTTCTATGGGGAGGGGGCTGCACCCCAGCCCCGCGGGCACTGACAGTCCCAGCAGCTGGGGGGGGGGGGGCGCCCCCGTGGCACCGCAGGGAGCTCACCCCGCTGTACCTGCTGCCTGCAGCCCAGTACTTTTCCAGCTATGGATACCATATGCTCCGTCCCCATCCCATCAAATCCCATCTCCAACTCGCCTTTGAGACCGAGCCAACGGCCCCAAGTCCACCTGTCTTGAACTAATTCTGTTTCGGGACACCGTGTTCTCCTGATTTTCTATAGATCGTGTTTACAATGCCACAGCTGGGCAGCAGCGCTTTGTGTTTGTGTCAGCCCTACATAAAACAAAAGCCCGGGGTCGCTGCCAGGGCCGGACTGCAGAGGCTCACCCCAACCCACAGCACTGCCCCACGGACAGTCCTCGCAAGCCCCATCTTTTTCCTCATCTAATTAAAACAAAACGAAACAAAACAAAACAAAAAAAAAAAAACAAAAAACAAACAGAGGAGTATCATGTTTTCTAGCTGGAAAATAAAGTGCAAGGCGGGAAGGAAGTGTTGTTCACGCACTCACACCAGCGCCGGGGCTCCAAATCTCCCCCTTTCATCTTCGTGTGGCCACTTCAAAGTCCCCAGCCAGGGAAATATTTGCCTCCGTTGGCTTGGCCCAGGCACGTGGGTGGACAGAAGTATTTGGTGTTGAATGTTACAGCCCCTGCAAGCTGGGGGGCATGTCACGCTGGCAGGAGACACCCGGCACCGGGGGCCGGTGGCCAAGCTGTGCCATGGGAACCCAGCGGCCCGGCGAGAAGGTTTTGGAGGGTCTCGTTGAGTCAAAGCCATGAAGCTGCTGCTCGGGAGCTGGTTTGAAGCGGGGTCCTTCCCCCTGCCTGTGCCATGGCTGGTTCCCAGTAAAGGCAACTGGGCCCCTTCGTAGCTCGTTGTCACACTGGCTGGTGCCACTTGTCACACATTTGTCTCACTTCAGCCCCTCCGTTTTCCCCCAGGGCCAAAAAAAAAAAAAAATAAAAGGGAAAACTACACAGGAAGGGCAGGTTTGACCCGAGGACATGCAACCCCCGAGTCACAGCCCCCGGCCCCCGTGTGTCCCCATCCACCCCTTCCCTTGAGGGATGCGCCCTCCAGCCCCATGGGCCAACCATCGCTCCTAGAGGTACCTGCAGAAGAGGCTGCAAATAAAAATTCCACCGAGTAACCCAACTTCCCCCCCCACCCCATCCCCTCCCCGAGATGCTAAATGAGCTCCATGAGGAAGAGAGAACCCGGGAAGCAGCGGCGGCAACGGGATGAATGGGGCTGGCTGGGGGCGGCAGCAGAGCCCGTCCCCATTCACATCCCTCCCATCCGGCATGAGGGGGCTGGGGGGGGGGGGGGATGCTCCCGGCATCACCACGGCAGCCCCCCCCCCCCCCTCCGGCTGCCCTCGTCCCTGCAGGTGAGCAGCCACTGCGGTGAGTCAGGGCTCCCGGGTGCTATTCCTGGCTTGCCACTGACTCATTAAGTTACCTTGGGCAAATCACTTCTCTTTTCTTTTTTATTTCAGCCACCTGCGAGGTGGTGGTGGTGGTGGGGGGTGAAACGCTGCGCAGCCCCCCGGGGCAAGAGCTGCTGAACGGTTTGGGGGACACACACATGGCCTGAGCATGAGCCTCGGCGCAAACATGTCATCAGGGGAATGCTGAGCTCTCCTCCCGGCAGTGGTGGTGCCGGTGTGTTCCTCCCCGGGGGGGGGGGGAAGGATGCAGGCAGTGCTGGGGAAGAGGGCTGCAGCTCCCTTCTAGGTCGGTGGGGAGGGGGGGGACGTGACATGCTTGAGCATCCACCTGGGACCGGCTTTAGTCTAGCCTACGAGAGACGCCTCAGCTTTGTTATGACGCTGCCTCTTGGGTATTAAAACCACGGGATTTCGCTCGCTCTTCCCAACGAAAATCCTCACCTGAAGAGAGGCAGGGCAGACGGCCAAGAAACCAAAGCGAGGATTCCCAGGAAGAGGGGACGAACGGCGAGTCTCGCCAACAGCCCCGGCAGCAGCCCCCCGCTCGCATCTCCCCCCCCCCCCCCCCCCCCCCGTGCTGCCCCCCTCAGCTCGCCCCCGAGGAGCCAGCTGGCAGTTGGGAACCAGCACGAGCAAAGCGAGGGACACCGTGGCCAAGGACAGAGGGGGCAAAGCCTCTCTCTAAGGAGACTGCCAGCGGATCACAAACACCCAGACAGAGCAGGCGGCATTCGGGTTTCAAGGTCTCGGCCAAACGACCCACCCACAGCGAGCGGCCGGAGAGGGTTTGCAGGGAGGGGGGAAAGGGCCAGCCAGATTTTACGGTGGCTCCAGGGAGTCTGGTTATTTCGGCTGCGGTGGCTGGAACAGGGAGCCCCGCGCGCCCGATTGCTAAGGGAACAGCGAGAACAGCATCCCCAGCACCCACCCAGGCGGCGGCAGGGTGCATCGGTGCCATCTGGTAGGTGAATCAGCCTGCAGACAACTTGCTGGCAGCTCCGCGGAGAAAAGGGGGGCCCCCCCCCCCCCCCCCCCGCCCCGCCCCACCCCACCCCAAGTCGGAGGTGAGATGAAACACGTGCTCTTTGCACCTCCTTGCAGCCACCCCGCCGCACCTGTGTCGCCGCAGCAGCTCCCTTCCAAAAAATACCGCAGGAAAACGCCCACGCCAGGAGCAGCAGCAGCACGGGGTCTCGCCCACCTCCCCGGCGCTGGACCACCCCGTGACCCAGGGCACGATGGACGCCCGAGAGGCCAGAAGTTCAAAGCTAGATTACATCCCGACAACGCTCCCCTCCAGCCTAAAGAAAAGGGTGAGAGGAGAAGGAAGATGGAGGAGGAGCGGCAGCAAGTCGCGGAAGGAAGCTGGAGGATGGAAATTAAAGCAGGCTGTGGTTGATTTAGGCCACCCCTTCCTGCAAATCCTCGGTGTGGAGATTACACGGCAGCCTCCTCTATCTCTGCCGGCACGCACAGGTTCTGGTCACCAAGAGCCAAAAGAAACCCTTAAGACAAGCCCTGAGCATCTCCTAACCTCAAACAAGATCCAACCCCGAGCTCAGGACTACAGACGCAGAGAGACGATGAATAAAGCCATCAAACGCCAGCGGCGAACGTATAACCAGGGCTTGAACTGATTTAGGCACAGGGCACCCTACGTGTTCCAGGAGCGTCCCTGAGACGAGGCAGAGCCACATAAACCAGCAAAAACTCACCTCCGGGTGTCTTTTCTCTCCGGCAGCCAGCACCGTACCACCGCAGGTACCGGCAGATGCCAACCTGCTCTTCTGCCAAGACAAGGTCCACGGGTGACCTGCCCAGTGTCCCACCGCTGCTCCCCAGCCCTCGCCCCTCTGGGTAATTAAACTGCTGGAGGTACGGCACTTGGGGGGAGGATTGCTGGGTGTCACCCCTGCGTTACACCCAGCTTGAGAAGGTAGCTAGCTCTAAGGGCAGTTTGTCCCCCGGCGGGACCCCAGCTGCTCTGCGGTGAGGACACCCACCAAAGGGACACGCGGCAGTGCCTGGCAGGGGGGGGGGCAGCATCTCACCTGCGCCCGGACCAGCGACTCGAAGCTGGGTTTGAAATAATCGATGCGGCTGCTGTAGAACTTGGGCATTTCCTCCAGGAGCTGCTTGTTTTTGGCTTCAAAGTCCTCCTTCACCGGCCGCAGCTCTTCGCGGGCCTGGGAAAGGAGAGAGGATGGGGAGTCAGACGTCTGGGAAAAGGCCCTGCTGTTGGGCAGACCTGCACAGAGGCCCCCCCGGGCCAGCAGACTGCTCTGCTTTGACCCAAGGACAACCAGTGACCGGCTAACGGAGCCTGGTGGGACCAAATGGCCAGCTAGCAGAGCCTGGTGGGGCCCATACCACATCTGACGGAGCCTGGTGGGACCCATACAACGTCTGATGGAGCCTGGTGGGACCCATACAACGTCTGATGGAGCCTGGTGGGACCCATACAACGCCTGATGGAGCCTGGTGGGACCCATACAACGTCTGATGGAGCCTGGTGGGACCAACCAACCATCTAATGGAGCCTGGTGGGACCAAATGACCAGCTAACAGAGCCTGGTGGGACCAAATAACCATCTAATGGAGCCTGGTGGGACCAACCAACCATCTAATGGAGCCTGGTGGGACCAAATGACCAGCTAACAGAGCCTGGTGGGACCAAATAACCATCTAATGGAGCCTGGTGGGACCAAATGACCAGCTAATGGAGCCGGGTGGGGCCCATACCACATCTGATGGAGCCTGGTGGGACCCATACAACGTCTGATGGAACCTGGTGGGACCAAACGACCATCCAGTGGAGCCTGGTGGGACCATATGACCAGCTAACGGAGCCTGGTGGGACCCATATTACATCTCATGAAGCCTGGTGGTACCCATACCACATCTGACAGAGCCTAGTAGGGCCCATACAATGTCCAATGGAGCCTGGTGGGACCCATACCACATCTGATGGAGCCTGGTGGGGCCCATACAATGTCCAATGGAGCCTGGTGGGACCCATACGACCATCCAGTGGAGCCTGGTAGGACCCATACGACTAGCCAGTGGAGCCTGGTGGGACCCTAGCTGTGACCCTGGACCATGGGGAAAGCCATGGGACACTGAGACAGGCTGCTGCAGAGATCACAAGCCAGCTGGTCTTCTCTCCTTCAGAAGACTGTGGACAAAAACCAGCCCCAAAGCTCAGTCAGGCTGGAGAACATCCCCATCCACATCTGTGTCCCCTCGCCCTGCGACTCCCAAGAGCATCGCCGGAGGATCCTGCCCCCACCGTCATTTTCGCCCGTGACCTTCAGCTCAGCGCGTCCAACTGGCTTCTTTAAACAGAAGCGTGGGGAGAAAGGGAAATGTCTCTGAGATGGTGTGGAAAAGGGCAGGAGGGGGTGGGCTGTGAAATATTAGACCGGTTCAAGTCTGCCACTTAATCCCAGCGCCATTCCGACGGGAGGGGGGACGCGGGAGAAAGCCGGCGAGCCGAGCCCAGGCGCGGCGCCGGTCCCGCTCCCTGGGACAGCACGCTGGAGGGGTGGCACAGACAAAGCCTTAAATCATATCAGGCTTAAGTAGGTCTGAGAGGCAAACGAGCAAATTCATCGTCTGCCGTGAAACGAGGAGCGTTTAAACTCCCGGGGTGGAGCTCACGTGGGGCACCAAACAGTGGAAGACGTTGAGCAAACAGCTCTGAAGGGAAGATGCAAATTTGGAGCTCAATAAAAATACCTGGATGAGATTATGCTATTTCCCATCAAATCTGTGGACCTCTGTGATGTCCCGGCTTCAGCAGGGCTTAAGGCTCCTGCAGGCGTTTAAGCTCATGCAGTGGTTAGTTAAGATCTTTTGGGGGGGGAATTAGACCAGACAGAAGTCCATTAAGGGAAAAAAATATTAAATAACTAAAACCTGCTTAATCACCAGGACAAAAGCATTCACATTTTTCCAGCTGCAGCTTTAGTCACCGAGGCTAAGCAAAGTAAGCTGCTTACTATTAAATCAGAGGTCTCTTTTGTTAAGGCTGATAGAGCTATTCTTTAACACAAAACTCAATTTTTGTGGGGAAAGTCATCAGAAAATATATGTTCTTTGACACCGAGGAAGTCAACTGTTCCTTTGAGGATCAAGCAACATTCTGCAGGAGCGACAGATTTGGGGAGAAACGCTGGTGAAGATTTAATTAAAAAAAAAAAAAAAAAAAAAAATCATGATTTCGCTAAAATTTGGGAGAGAGAAAATCTGGCAAAGCTTCCTGTTAACCAATTACTGCAATTTTCCAAGACGAATTTTTGCAACAGGTGGCAAACATAAAGCCTCAAAACGCTCTGACCTTCCCCTTTTCCCATCCAGCTGCTTGCTCAGACGCGGAGGTCAGGGGGAAACCCCCCCGTGCGCCGACTTCAGCGCTGGCAGCTCCTCCGAGCATCCCCGGCTCCTGCCACTTCGATTTCATTTTATTTCGGAAAAACTGTCTCTCTCCCTTCGCTGAGCGCTCTAATTCACATTTCTGTTGTCAGGCGTCCTACGTGGCAATTCTACATCGCTAAAAGACGCCCTTCCAAGATGTTCTATCTCACGGGGGCTTGGCTTGGATGTCAAACGCCAAGAGAAAAAGCTCTTCCCAAGCCCCGGGGCTTTCCTACCGACCCTGCTCGGGATTTGGGTGCGGGAGCATCTCGGTACCTGGTGCAGCTTGGCGAGGACGGGGCCGGTCCTCTCCTTCTCCTCGTATTTCTCCACCTTGGACTGCAGGCGCTTGTAGTCCTGCAGCGTTTGCTCCCGTCTCTTCACTGCCATGTTCAGGCTGGGGAACACGCTGCTGAACCTGGGGAAAGGACGGGAAAGGGGTTTTTGGGTGGGAAAGCTTGGTCGGACGCAGCATCCAAGGCAACGTCCCAGACAAAAGTCCCCAAATAATTCAGGATTCAGAACCAGCGGTTTCAACAAAGCCAGTTCCAAACACGGAAGCTTTCGTTGCAATCTTTCAGGAGGCTGGAAGAAAGGATTAAGTGATACAGAAAGCTTTGCAGAGCCTCGCCAGGGTGGGGTGTTTGAGAGGAGAGCTAGAAGCACATGCTTGGGTTTTTTTGTGAAGGTCAGTTCATGTGCCTAAGGGTGTGTTTTTAAATAATAATAATAAAAATCGAGCCAATTTTGCAAAGCCTGGTAAAAGTACTTTGAAGGTCCCAACCTGCTTCTGACTTCTCCTGCCAGCCCTTATGCTTTTACCATTAGTTCTTTATTTTTAACAGTTTTCCCCCTCTCTTCCAGCTGCTGTATTCAGGAACATGGAGAGCTGCCTTATCTGGGACGGGGGGGACGGAAGCTGCTGCAGAAAACAAAGCTGTTAACTCCACCGAGCAAACCAAAGAGAGAAAAATAAACAACTTTTCCCCCATATAGAGTTAGCTAATGTGGCATTTCCCCAACACCGTGTTTGGAAAGGGAATGAGCAGGCAGAGGAGTTGAATCAAAAGTTCGGGAAAAATAAACATGAAGAGCAAAGTAAATATTAACTGCAGCAGCCTTTGCTTTTTCAGGCAATTTCTGGGGTTGCAAGCCCCGGCCTGCCGTACAGCCAGGCTTGCCCAGCTGAAGAGGAGCTCTGTACCCCACACAGAAGGATTAACAGCAGCCAACAATTAGCCAGGCTACGGGAAGATTCATATTATTAAAATGTGTTACAAATTGAGGAAACATGAACATCTGACGGCAAAGACAAGAGAGAATATTTTTGAACGCGACAGAAGAGGGAAAGCCAGAAACTGGAGCGTTGCTCTTGTCTCCCAAATTTCAGTAAATCAAATTATACCAGTGGGGACTGCTCTGGTGCTGGGCAATGGGTTCGTATGAAATGGGTCACCCTACCTCCAGACATATTAATTTCATCTCCACAAATTATAGGGTCATTTTGAAGGGGCCAAAGCCAGGAACTGGTTGTGAAAAATGTGTCTAAACAGCCCGGTGATGATTTTCACTTCAGAGAGGCAAGTAAACAGCTTTCTGATCTCTTTAAATTGAAAAAAAAAAAAAAAAACCCAAACCCACCCTATAATCCAGGCTGGGGGGCACATTAGCAAAAAGAAAAACACAAATCGCACTTTACGACTGTAATTTGCTTTAGATGTAATCAGATGCAGAGCTAATGCAGAGGCATTAGGGTTCAAACAAAACCACGGGCGTTCGCAGCCCTGCACAGCCACTCCATCCCCTATTAAAATCTCATTTTCCGCCGCCATGCTCGCCCCGGAGGGTGCTAATGTGCCAGACCAGCGGGTGCAGAGGCAAAGCTTTTGTCCCCGAGCCTTACCAGTTTGCAAAGGGCAAATGCCAAAAGCGAGGGGGGGAAGGGGAAACATTTGTGTTCGAGCATTTGTGTTCAAGCATCCCTCGCCCAGGTGGTGACCCGGGGATGCGATCTTGCAATCCCGCTGCCCCGGGGATAACCAGGGCCGGGCCGTGCATGGCCAGCCAGGCTTCTTCTGTGCCCACCCGCTGAGATCCTCCCTCTGCCCGAGACTGTTGCAGCCGGGGCCGCGGCACGAGGAACAACCTGCAAAAGTCATCAGGGAGCTCGCCCAGCGTCACCCTGCCGCCCAGCTGCCCGCGCACGGATCAGATGCTGCTGCCCTGACATTGCTTTTTATGGTAACCTTCACACACAGCTCCCTATTATATTTAAATGCCTCGGTGGCTTACACGTCCTGGCTGTGCCGGCCTCCAAGCGTGGACTCACCATCTCCTGGGCTACGGGCTGCTGCTAAAATACCTCCTCCCTCTCCATAAGGTCCAAAAATACGCCGTGAGAGGGCTAGGGGAATAGCGATGGGCGGTAAGGACCGCACGGAGGAAGGGAAGGGGGGTCCCCAGGTTGGGGGTTCTCCTCGGTATAAAAGCACAGACGTTCCTTGCCAACGGCGCACACACAATGTCAGCAGCTTGCGGTTGCAGCTTCTGCAGAAATTTCTCCCAATTATTAACAAGCTGGCAACGGAAAGGAAGGATCCCGTCAGGCCAGCAGCCCTCAGCTTTATTTTTGCGTTATATCCCTGACGGGGCGGGTTTGGTAACGGCACACAACCTCTTACCTCTCTCCAAAAGCAGGGCAGGAGCAAATTGCAGCTCGCTAAAGGGCTACGGGGGGACGAGCCGAGCTGCTCCTCAGCAACACTGCTGCTCCCTCCACGATGTGCCTCCAGGCTTGGGAAACATCTGAGGAGACGGGCCCGGGGCTGGGAAATCCTCCCCTCCCCTGGTCTGCGGGGAAGCTGTGCCCCAAAGGCTGAGCCGGGGTTGTCCCCTCCGGGGCTGCCAAGCCACCAGCGTGGCCTGGATGGGGCTGTCACTGCCCGCCCATCCGACAGCTCTTGGAAAACCGCTCCCCAAGAAGGTGCCTCAAAAGTAAACCTGGTGCCAGTACCCAACACTAGCTTTTAAAGGGCGTTTTTCTGATGGCCCAGCTTTTGAGACTCTCTCATGCTCGACATTTCCACGGTGCTCGTACATTAAAAGAGCCACGAGACACCAGAGAATTAGCACGCAGCCATTTACATCTTCCAAACTCGCTACCGCAGGGGAAGAGCAAACCCTTTAGCTCAGAAACGCAGCAAGTGAGAACGCAGACGACGATCAGCGACACAGTTTCCATTTACTTTGAAGTTAAATCTGGCTTTTAAAAGGAAAAAGGCTTGATTTTTTTTTTTTTTTCCCCCCCCGTTTTTGTTCCTAGTATCAACTCGGCGCGATTTTGCAGCCCGTAATGGAAGGACACTGTACTCCAGCAGCGCTTTAAAAAAATATCTACAACGCTGGATCTGAAGAGGCTGTTACTGTGTAGGCACAGCAACTACTGTCTCACAAGGACTTTTAATGCATAGATTATACGCTGCATTTCAGAGGGAGGGAGGGGCAGCTCAGCTCTACAAGCTGCCGTTAATAAAACGCACCATGCCAGCTCCTTGGCCCCAACCCCCCTTCCCACAGCTCTGGTCGGGTGCCCCAGGTCCAGCCTGGGTGCTGGGAACATCAGCGTTAAGTGATGGGTTGCTGAGGGATGCGCACGGGAGGGGCTCAAACCACCCCACCCTCCCCCCCCCAAGATGCTCGAGGGGTTTTAAGGGCTGTGAGAAGCAAAGTTGAAAGCCACAGGTGAGCAGCAAAGCGGCGTGGGGATTTCTAAATCGCTTGCAAACCCCCACGTAGCAGCTGAGGTTGCCTCGGTGCGGTGGTCCTTCAGCCACGCTCCTCCAGACACCTCCAGCGTGCCCACCGAGCTCTCCCTGTGCCCACCAAGCTCTCCCCGTGCCCACTGAGCTCTCCCCATGCCCACCAAGCTCTCCCTGTGCCCACCAAGCTCTCCCCGTGCCCACTGAGCTCTCCCCGTGCCCACCGAGCTCTCCCTGTGCCCACCAAGCTCTTCCCGTGCCCACCGAGCTCTCCCCATGCCCACTGAGCTCTCCCTGTGCCCACCGAGCTCTCCCCGTGCCCACTGAGCTCTCCCCGTGAGCCACCTGGCTTAATTTTCACGCAGGATTAGCTCAGCTCAGGCAGGGAAGGATGCTCCTTCCTTGGACTGATCTGGATTGAGGCAAAGCCGCCTCTGGCTCCTGAAGGAATTACTCCGTGTGAATTCCCTATTAACTCAGCAGCCCTGAAATTCCCCCCAGAGTCCGGAAGTCCTGCCCAGGTTTTTCCCCCTGTGTGTACAGAAATATGATCTCAAGCCAAGTGCCAGGGGTGGTAAACACCCACGAAGGCTGATAGGGAGATACGGGCTCCCTCCACTGCCAAGTTATTCTGATGACTTAATAAATCGCTGCATTTCACATGTCACCCCAGTGTCTTCATATCTCATATATCTCAAATATCTCATGCATGTTATTTACAAATGCTCCTCATGGAAAGCCTGGCAGAAAGGCCATCTAGAGCCCCCAGAAGCTGCTGACATCCACAAACACATCCCTCAGTCTCCCAAGCCCTGCAAGAACAACTCCATGAGGATCTCAAATCTTTACCAGAGCCTTTGGCTAAGCACCGCAAACCCTCCTGGCAAGGGGCGAGGGACAAGGACTGTCATTAGTTTCACGGGTGGCGAGCAACATCCAAACACCATCAGCCACTCTGGAAATGAAATCCCAACAACTGAACACGGAATTTTTTAGCAGGACCAGGGGAACCTCAGGGGCGAAGCCTGGTTGTTTCACCCATCCGTTCCTGCCGCACGCGGAGCCGGGGCAGCGATTCCTCCTGCTGCAAAGCGCTCCGAGGAGCACCACGCCGAGCCCTAGAGCAGACGTGGGCATTTCTGGATGAGCCCAGCACCATCCCCCTCCGTACGCTCCACCCTGACCCCGCTTTCGTAGGGGATGAGAGGGGCTGACAGCCGTAACCCACTCACAAACCCCCAGGACCGCCCTCTGTTACTCAATACTTTCGTTTTTAACACGAAGAAAAGAAAGCTGAAGCCGACTTAAAGAAAATTAGGTGGGTAGGATGCTAAAAGCACAGAGCAGGAGTGAAGGTAAAACAGCAGCACGGGGCATTATAGCCACGAAAGCAGCTTGCAGAATAAGCCGCCGTTGTTCCCTGTCACTTTTTAGGCAAGGCTGCTGAGAGGGGATTACAATACAGGCAGCATAAGAGGAGCAGGTGAGGGGAGATACACAGGGATAACTAAAAGAAAACACAAATTACTGTCTCCCCGCTCCGGTGGGGCGGGGGGAGAGAGGAATGTATTGGTGAACTCCTCTTAGGATGACAGTTTAGCCCTGGGAAAAAAAAAAAAAAAAAAAAAAAAAAATCACCCGATTCTCTGAATTATAAATCATGCTGCCACCTCGTCTCCACGCCAGCCACCCATCAGCTTCCCATAATTAAAGGACGGGGCTGGAGAGACACTGCCACGGAAGATGAAAGTGCCACCAGGATTCCCGTCGCTGCCGGATTCGTTAGTCAGCCCGGCTGACAAGCCTGGTGCTTGAAAATTGAAAACTCCTCTCCATCTCTGGTGGGAGGCTGCCGGCGAGGGGCTCGCCGTGGGGATGCTTGAGGAGTGGGCCCATCCTGTCGCCTCCCCGCCTGCAGCAAGGCCCCCCAGCAGCCTGCCTTCTCCCCTCCCTCTCCGTCCCCGCTGCTCGCCCCGCGGCTCCCTCCAACCCCCATTTTTAGCGTCAGCAAGGCAAAGTGGGGGCTTGGGCTTTGGCGCAGGGAAAAAAGAACGGTAAAACTTTTATTTCCCCCCCCCCCCCCCCGTTCGCAAGTGTCTCGAGCGCTCTTGTTGGCAGCCCCACGAGCTAGGCTGGCATGCACGGGCGCTCTTCCCTGTGGCATTATTTTAGGGACAGCAGGATGACGAAAGCGAAAGGAAGCGGACAGGACCTGCGGCTGGCATCGGACAGGGGGAAAAGGAATAACAGAGTTGGGGAGCATCAGATTCGAGAGAAAGCGGCGGTGGACGAGACGAGGGGGAAGTTCGGAGAGGCACAAGGACGAGGCCGAAGCATCTGGGCTATGTTCGGGGATGCCTGCCATTCCTCAGCCCGTGCCCACACGTCCGCCGTGGGCCCGTCCACCCACCAGGAAGGGGGGGAAATTAAAACCAGCCCTTCCGACTGGAGCGAAAAGGAACAGAAATGAAGAGGACGGGACAAAAAAGCGGCGAGCTGGGGATTAGGCTGAGAGCCCCGCGCGGCGGGAGGGGGCCAGGCAGCCATGTGGCTAGCTTTGTGCACGAAATCCTCATTAGGGGCTCGTTAAGGACATGAAAGCGGCTTTTCCTGCTTCCGGACCCCGGCACCCCTGGGGCTGCTCACGGCCGGTTATCTGCTTCGGGCTGCCGGGAAGGAAATGCAGCTCGAGGGTTCATGTTAATGGCCGGGTTATGGGGGGGGGGGAAGAAGAAGAAGAAGATGATGATGAAGACCCCCCCCCCCCACGTGCTCCGTGGATGCCAAGCACCGGTTGCTATCGCCGGCAGATATTTGCTGACGTACGGCTCTAATTGAATTTACACCCCCCGGTCGGCTGCCAGGGGCTTTTGCACCTCTGGGACCTCCCGCTGTGCTGACACCCAGCCCCGGCTGAGGGCACCCAGGCGGCAGCACCCGTTGTGTCACCCCTGCCCAAGGGTCCCCCTGCCCCTGCAGCAGCCCCTCGGCTGCAGGAGCAGGACCGCCCGCCGAGCCAGGGTGGCCATGACGGCCCGACGCTTCAGACAGCTAGAGTTTGTTAAACCCAGACCCTGCGGCACTGAAAATCGGCTCCAAACGTGAAAGGCATTAAAAGCCTGTGAATCTCCAAACCACCTGGCTTATTTAAGCTGCTTCCTTCCTTAAATACTGACACCCAATACGTAACGCTGCGATGACGGTACGCAGTCCATCACCAATCCCTGACCCAGCCAATACACCTTGCTGCTCGCCCAAGCCAGAGGGAAGAACTGGAAGAGCGGAGTAAAAACCAGCTGTTTTTCCTCCCCCCTTGCCCCAAACCCGCCGATCTGGCGCGAATTTATGCAGGCATCTCCCAAAGAGGCGAGCAGATCCCTGCTGACCTTTCCCAGCCGCCCCAGCTCCTTGCCCAACCCGCACGCTAAAATATGCAATATTCTCACTAGAGCTCTGCTCCTTCCCTGAAGTTAAATGAGAGATTCCCAGCCAAGGGCTTCTTGGGGCTCAAAAAGCAAAACTCTGAATAACCCTGCGTCCCCAGAAGCAGAAGGATTTAAACAATACAAGCCTCCACCCTGCTCTGAATCTACTACTGCTTTCTTCTACACGGTTTAACAAATTCTCCAATATTTGTCCGAAATCTACTGTCTCTGGACAACTGGATGGAGATTTTGCTGCACATGTGCCTCTGATTACAATATATCACCGTTAATGATAATTGCCTGGATTATACTTATCTGTTTCTTTGGCTAATAAAGTATAAAAGACCACCAGTGAAGATGTAATAAAGTGCAGCTGTTGTAGCAAAAGCCTTTTTCTAGGTCAAAGCAAGTTTGGGAGAGGCTAGGGAGGACTGTCTCTGCGAGGGGAAGCAATACCTAACTGGAAATAAGAAGAGCTCCTCAAGGCAGCTTTCATTAATCTGAAACTTTTATCCTAGGAACGTTGCTGGGGTTTATCTGCCAGCAGGACGAGGGGAGGTGCAAGCCCTGCTTTTCTCTCCTGCATCTCATTAGCCTCAAAACGGACCCTTGGGCTCCTTAGAAATGTTCCTGGCTGCACGACTCGGCCATGCACGCACCTACGCTCGCGGAGAGTCAGAAAGAGGGAACGAAAAGAACATTTTTTGCCCGGCGTGGAGATGCAGCCTCTCCGAGCATGAAACATAAGCTCTTTAAGAGCACGCAGCAACCGTCTGCAGGTGCCAAAGGGCAGGAAGGGGAAAAAAAATACCATATTCAAGTCTAATGGAAATTTAGGAAGTTTGAGAGAATTGCCAAGGCTGGAAAGCAGCCAGGACACTGCAGTAAACACCCTTACGTTCAACCGAGGACTGGGCTGATAACCGGCGAGCTGAGCGTTACACCTTGTGAGACGAAACCTCCCGGGCACCAAGGAGGAACAAACCAACTGCCCCCGTGTCCTGCAAAACTCCACTATTTCCTCAGTATTTCCTTACGGCAGGAATAATAGGACGTGCTCTTGCATAGCTGCCTCAAACCCAAAGCAAGAGGAAAGGGGCCTTTCCCCTTCTGTACTGTCCGTGCTACGGCAGTGCACAAACGCAGAATCAGAGGTCGGTGGCGTGGGAATGGCTTTACTGTCTGTAATGAATGGCCCCATACACTGCCCAGGGATTAAAACACAGGGTGAAGTTTGCAGGGAGAGGTATTATTTTTCAGTTCATCAACCAACACAAGTTGGGGGGGGGGTGGAAAAAAAAAAAAAAAAAAGAGATTTCAGAGACACAAGCCCTTCTTCCAATTTTAACAGAATGCTGGAAGAAGAAGTTAATGTATCTTTCATGAGGACAATCTAGACAATAAGCAACACAATTCCATGGCACAAGCCTAGCATTTTTTTCTTTCGTTCTTTCTTTCTTTCTTCTTTTTTTTTTTTCTAAATAATCAAGAATTTCTGGTCATGGATAGACAACCAAGGTAAAACTTGACTCACCAAACATCCCCCAGATAGAAACACACTGTAACCTCATGTGCTAAGCAGTACGTGAGATTTTACTTTCAGATCTGTGCAGAAACAACAACTTTAAAAAAAAAAAAAAAAAAAACAAAAAACCAGCCTGTGTCAAACCTAAACTAAAATTGTTATTCAGCAATTTGCAACACTTACTGTCATATTAAAGTAATTTTATTTTATTTTCGCTCGCTTGCTCTGTTCTTGTAACAAAACAGCAAATCTCAGGATTTCAGGGGACATATGGTACGGCAACTGAAGCACTCCTTAAATGTTTAGGGGGTACAGCCTGTGACACTGGTAATGGCTGCTAATGCTGGTGGAAATTGTGCAGACAGAGGGGAATTGCACCAGATGAGACCGGGGTGATGAAGTTACCGCGGTGCCGAGGCGCGACCGAGTACTGACACGCTGCGCCGTCAGCAAGGGATGGGGGAAAACACGGAAACCCACTCCGAGGACGACAGTGCCAACAGCTCTGGCTCTCGCTCTCCCATAAGGATTTATTTCCAAGACCATCCACGGTCTGAAGCTTTGCCCGCAGAAGTTTGCAAGACCTTCTCCAGGGCCTGAGACATCCCGCCCTGGACCCGCCACCAGCCCAGGATGGGGGGTGCTGGTGTTTTTCTGTCCGTACTCCCCGCTGTCTAGCTACGATGGCTCTGCAATGTCTCCCTCCTTCCTGCATGGATATTTTATTTATAAACACAAAAGGACTTTCACTAAAAGCAAGCTTTTACTTTTTTATTTAGAAAACTTCCAAAGGGAAGAAACTTTTCTTCAAACAACCAAACGCTCACCCCCACTGACCGTGCCTGCAGCCCACAGGGGAGCTCCCCGGTTGATTTTTCTCCTTCAGCTGCAGCGAAGTGTTGGTAGTAACCAACACCTAAACAGAGAGGAGTCGAGTGCTTTAATGCACTCAGCACTACGCACCTCAGGCAATTCCTTGAAGTACAGATGAAGACATCTGGCAGGCTGAGGCACAAACCTCTTCGCCCTTGCCACCGGAGAAGAGAGTATGGACTCAGCTAAACCATCCCACCTCTCCGTGCCCCAGCTGTAAAGCACGGAGGTCGGCATTTTGTCACAGGGACGTGAACTATTACCTCTTTAGGAAGGGCTGATTTCTAACCTGGCAACGTCTCTTTCCCTGATACACATCCCTAAAGTACACAGCTATGACAAACACTCGATATGGCTCATAAGACAATGGTGGTACTTACTTTTTCAAAGGCTCTATGACGGTCTTTTGGATCTGATTCACCTGTTGAAAGCAAAAGGGATGATTATATGTCAGGACTGTTGAGGAAGCCTGTTTGCACAACGATACATGTTTGCACAGTGCCTACCATAGGATGATGCGGGCTTCTGAGCACAACCACAATGCCCTTTAGCCAAAAAACAGCAAATTTCTCCCATGCGCTCAGGATGAGCTGCGATCCTCAGTACAACCCGAGTCAGAAGAAGAGTAAGATTATAGAGAAACTCATGTGGGAAGCACCTTGGAGATGATGACAAAAAGGGAAAGAGGATCTGTCTGGGAGGACGAGATACCAACAGCGCCCCAGCACACCCAGGTCTCCCTTATTTCTATTCACCTTCTCCTGGTTGAAGGAGTCCATCCTCTTCATCGCTGTGTCAAAGGCCGTGACCATCTCCAGAAAGCTGGGCTCCTGTTCACACAGGGGGTTGGACAGCAGGTCCGAAGAGATTTTGACAGCCGACTTGGACATGGCTGTGGGCAACAGGAGCATGAGAAGGAAAGCGGAGAGGGTCACGTCTCAGCGGCTGCCCGGTGGGACAGCCACACAACCCCCTCATCGCCGGGGCTGGCACCCGCATCCGCGAAGGGCGATCGTGGGCAAAACTCAGGGACTTCAGCCACCGAGGGGGGATCTAGCACAACTTTCCAGGAAGATATTCGCCGGTGGTTGACAGAAAAGAAAGGAAGAGCCACCAATTCATTCACATAAACACCCAGAGAACTGTTTATATAAGTTAAGTCTGAACCACTCCGATCTACGGCTTGTGATGTTGCCAGAAATAATACCAGACTAACAAAAGCACTGTTCTCTTAAAAAAATGTAGATGGGTTTTTTTATACGTCTTTTCTCGACAGACTATTAAGTGTCACTCTCAGTCTCACTACAGCTCTTCCACAATGAGAAAAATCACAGTCCATTAAGTCTTTCAAATGGCTTTACAAAAATATATATTTGAAGTGGATTTAGTGCTGGTGGAAAAGGACCAGACTGACAGGACTGGAAGACAAGGTTTCTCTTTTGCTCTCAAAATAGGCACTACACAAGGAGCAGAGACGCAAGCTGGCTAAGCACTTTCCCTCAATGAGTCTAAATTTTCTGCCCATGGAGACCAACCCCACAAGCCAGGGGAAAACGCAAAGGCTGAAGTCTCTTGAGACCCTGAGACTGCCACCAAGAAATCCAGAAACACCAGGTCACACTCCGACGGGCTTCGGTTCCTGTCTCGCTGAGCACTTTTGCTTGTTTTCCATCAGACACGCCTCTCTTCCTATCCAAACACTCGGTCTTCAAAGGGAAAATTAAATCCCTATGACAGGACCATTACAAAAGAGCGAGAAAATAGCTAAGGTACAGAATGGAAAAAAAGATGAATAAAAAGGCAAGCATCAATACAAATGGGAATAAAGAAGAAGAAAAAAAGTCACGGGTACTAAAAAAAAAAAATGTTCTTTTTCGTCAGCACTGTTGCTGGAAGTTATTCCAGTTTAAGATCAGAAAGCCAGATGCTTGAGCCGTGCTACAGATGAGCTTTGGAAAGACTCCTACTGTACTCACTCAGATATTAAAAGTTAAAGTCATCTGAATAATGGGGCTTAAGATCATAAATCAAGGGGTTAAATATTCTGATTTAAAGGTTACACACAATTATACAGAGAGCTCAGAAGCTAAATAGCTGGGAAGCTCAATGCAGAACGAGACGCGGACTACAGAATAACAAAGCTACCGTATCCGTCTATTATCCAAACATTAAGGGTTTAGGCATTTAAACCTTTAAACAGATGGGATATAATCCATATGTGTGACCACATCTGAGGAAGGATTTCTGCCAAAATGGGACGGAGTTAAGAATGGCAGAGCTCCTTCAGCTGGAAGAAAAATTAGTTTCCCTTCATAAGGAGAGGATTGAGAGTGGACTGGAGCGAGAGGAGCTGCTGCGAGCAGTGGGGTCACGCCGAGGGGCCAGAAACAGGCACATCGCTGCCGTGGGAGAGGAGGGGAGAGCAGAGCAGAGCCTCGCCTGCCCCTCGGGCCGGGCTTCAGGAGGGTCTGTACTGCACTTCGCTCATAAAGCGTGCAGGACGCAACTCCAATTCAAGGAAGCGATTTTAGAGAGGCCCTGCTTGTTTAAATCACGATGCAAGTAGCGGAGAACAGCCAGGCACGCTCCGGAGAGCAACACTGAGCCCCGCTGACCCAGCGGGCTGCCTGCACCTCAATTCAAAAGGAGAGCTTTGGTCTCCAGTTAAAGAACCTCCTCCTGCTCCTTGAGATCGTATGTGGTTTGGAAGGAGGGTGGGGAAGAGGGTTAGTGATCTTTAGCCGTAGTACAGAGCGTGCTGCTAATAACCCAACCGCTGTTCCCAGCCATGCTGCTGCAGCTGGGGGGGGCCACGGCCGAGCCTCGCAGGAACATTTTCGTGCAGAGGGAGGAATCGGTCTTGTGCTGAGCTGAGCCTTTTTTGGCAGAAGGTGGAGACTCGAGCCACCAGGTCCGGTTTGCTAGGGAGTGTTTGCAGGCGGTGAATAATCAACCCCCTCGGCGCAGAGGTACAGTGGAAGAAATAAGACACTCGGGAGGACACAACAACGCTGATGCACTGCCATCCTCGTCGGATATGGGGGCTGGATGTTGGCTGAGCAAGCACAGCTTTCTCCTCTCGGGACTGGGCACTGCCAGGTGAGGAAAGCAGTCCTCAGCACTTGATCGGACCTACCTCCTTTTCCTTCGCCCATCCCTCACCGGACCACATTCAAAATCTTCCCTTACACTCATGATTTCATGCCTTTAAATGAGAAATCAGATCTTACTGGATCTGGCCAAGGCTCATTTGTGACTCTGCCATGTAGCAGAACGGAAAAAGAAAGTCCTCCCACAGCTCCTCCGGGACTTGAAATGCTCCATATAAACAACGCCCACTGCAAGGGAGGGGAGGGGAATCCTTAACAAGGAAAAACTTACCAAGGATCCCTGACAATGACCAGAGTCCCCAGAAAGGGCAGTTTTCACCCCGGAAAGGAGTCCTGGCAGCGCCGGGTACTGATGCCTTTCCCAGCGCTCCCCGCCCCTGTGCAAGCACACGCACGTGCCAGCACCGTGCTGGGAAGGGTGGGAGAACGCGGGCGAGAGATGGGATCCGTGTTTATGTCTGGCAATATCCGAGCGTGCACACACACATACGCGCAGGTGAGAGCCTGTAGCATGGGAAGCCCCAAATTTGCCAGCCCTCCCGCTGGCAGAGCGCCCCGTGGGGCTCCTTCCCACTCCGCTGCCCCTCCGTGAACCCAACTCCCACGGGACGAGTGTTGGACCAGTCCGGCCCGTACCTGTTTGCACTGGTGCATCTGCCTTGGCTCCGGAGCCACGGGGGCCCGGTACAAACAGGGACTACTCCAAACCACACGCTGAGAAAAGCCATCTGTGTTTAAAACAGCTCTTTGCTGCATGTTGCTGCCCTGCTCGGTTCAAAAACCGGCATCCAGAATCCACTTCTCCCAGCTCCCCCTCCACCAGGTCGCTCCAGCTCCTCCCTCCCATCCCCAATCAGAGCCCGCGCCCCGTGCTGTGGTCACACCAGTTCCCTTCTGGAGAAGCTACGAGGGGAGCGGGCAGGGGCTGGCGTGCCTCGGGACAGGACACCTGCAAGGCAGATGTCACCCCGCGCAGGCAGCTGCGGCGGTGCACGCAGAGATGACTTGTTCGTCGCTTCCGACATCGCCCGCCGCCACGGGGTGAAGCCAAAGCAAGCAACGGGCAGGGTTATTCCCGAAGGAGAGCTGCGAGGTCAGCAGCTGGGATGCGAAACACGCGCAGCGATGCCGGCGTGGTGCCCCCCCCCGCCCAGAGCCCCGTCCCACCTTCCTTTGGCTCCGGACAGCACAAGATGCCCTCGACTGAAGTAGGTGAGTACGCAATAGGCTCAGCTGGAGACTGCTCCTGCCTGTCTAATATGAGAACCGGAATAATTACGCCTATTTTTCGGTTGCAGAAACTGAGGCAAAGAGAAGAAAGTGAGTTGTCCAAGGCCACAGAGCAAGCTGCTGCTCAAGAGATAGGGACTAAGCCCGTAACATACTTTCTGTTCCCTTGGTTGAGATACTGCTCGGCAGCCCTCATGCAGATGGCCTTGTAACTAAGCAAACTGAGTGGGACTGAGATCTAGATTTGTTTTCCAGACTTGTCACAGATTACTCATGTGATCTTGAGAAAGTCACTTCATCTCTTTGTGGCCAAGTTCACAGTCTATGTATCCTACAGTCACATACCCAAGTCTGCATCTGTGCTTTTCTTCATATCCTTCTGAAGTTTTTTGGTCTGATCTTCCAATCTGAAAGATGGGAGAACAAGGCAAAGTCTGAATCTTGGAAAGAAACAAACCGAAGTGTATCATACGTGCAACAAATCATTTACGGGCTGAATATGCTGGCTTCTGTTGTGAGTTAAAAATATCCAGGCAAGGCTTTACGAAGTTCAGTGCTGCTCAACCTTTTCTGGTTGTTTTCAGATGGTTTTCAACCTTTTCAAGTTGGTGATTTCTAATTCAAAGGCACATATTTTCTTAAGTCCTCACACTTACCACAAATGGCAAAGCCAAATGCTTCCAGATGATAAGTGTGAGCTTATGTGACACAGTCAGTATGGTAAAACCAATATTTGTTGTCAGAGGTGTTGAGCTGTTTGGTGACCCTCCAGTTTTCTGGCAATTTTACACTCTTTACTTTATAGCTGCCATAATCTGCGAACCTCAACCCCACTGCAAATACTTCTTAGGACACCTTTGAACACCCAGCCACCAGAGAAACTCTGAAGAATGAGAAATTACAGGGCAGAGACTGATTTGCTGGGAAGAGCATAACTGGCTAAAATTTCCTGGGAAGATGCAAGAAGCGGGCACAACAGAAAAGCATGCTGCTGTTCCTGTTTTACCAGTGTGGTTGATACTTACTGCTGAAGCTTTCCATATTCCCTTTCAAAGTCTCTCTCCACCTGTAGAAAGAAGAGATGGAAATCAGCTCAAAGGTACTGCAGCAGAGCCTGGAGTGGCAACTACCTGTGCGGGGGAAACCTGTCCTCAGGAAATGCCTACGTGAACCCAGGGAAGCGTAAGCTGCGTCTGTAATGGGAGTTACGCTTCAAAAGTAAATGAGGTCTTGGTTTGGTTTTTTTTTTGTTGTGCCTCCAGACTCTCCCAGAGCAAAAGACACTGCCACACCGGCTGCGTCAGCTCCTTCCTAGGATGTGCTCCAGCACAGGAGCTGGAAGCTGACAGAGCCGAGGGGAAATGCCTTAAAAGCAGCGAGGTGGCACCTCAGCACGCTCTGACCCGGGCGCCCAGCGCTCAGCTCGGGGCTGGCGGGGGACAAATCTGCTTTCCCCTCCCGAGGCTCGCTCGTCCCCGGAGCCGAGAGGAGCTGCTTCTCCTCCAGCGGCACGCTGCCAAGGACCCCTGCGGTGGCTCTGCCACGCTCCCACCCAGCCAGCCGCTCTCTCCCTCCCCATCCTCAACAGGGTGGGTTTTCTCCCCCCAAGCCCCTCCAGCCCTCCAATCTCTGCGTTAATTGCCCCCTCGATGAGCTCCTTATTCCTGCAGTAGCTCCCTCCGATGAAACACTGGAGCAGCGGGCCGAGGGGACTGCGGCACCTCGCAAAGGGAGGAGAAACCTGGGCTGGCGAAGAGCACTGAGCTAAAGAACAGCCTTCTCCCGATGCTACATCAATGACTGCTTCCTCCTACTTGCTATCTGGCAGCAAATCTCCAGTGATACAGGATATTTTAAGGAACTTTCCTTCCATGCTGACTGTTTTAACACACACTTAAACATTCATTCCACACCTCGTCGACCAAATAAGCAAATGGATTTCAATTGACCAGCCAAGAGTAAATACATGCGCTTTTGTTGTCATGGGATCAAAACTGGGTTCATTTGTGTTGTCAAGCTACCATGCTATTAAGGAAATGCTAAGTGTTGCAAGCAGCCAGGACTAGAAGGATCCAAAGGTTTGTTCCAAATCTTCATGCTGTCCTCAGGATTTCAAACCCAGGCTTGATGTAACAGCATTATGCGAAACCAGAACGCTTAATAGGGACAGTTGCTTTTCAATCAAAATTGCTATTAAAAGACCAGTATTTTAAGACGGAGCCCAGTAATCCCAGTTTTCCTGAAACCTCCTCTCCTAAATAGCTTTTTGCTCTGCACTTTCAGATACTCTCGAGCTCTGCAGCCACGCGACCAGCCCGTTCCGAAGGCAGGCGGTGCCCGGGCGCAGCGAGCGTGCCGAGTCCCAGCCCCGTCCCCAGTGGACAGCTGTCCACACCATCAGCTCCCACCATCCGGGGGACGCAAGCTGGCTCTCTCCGCCGATGAAAAACCTCCACCCAGCTCCAACTCTCTTTCGTGCTGCTAAAAATGGTCGCTGGAGAACAGGCATGGAGCAGTGTGGGGGCAGCTCACACGACTTCTGCCTGGTTCACAGTTCTGCAGAAATCCGCAGCAGCTGGTGCCTGGAGGTCAGGTAACCAGCACATAGTAAAAATCACCCTCGATTTCTATGGCTGTTCCGGCTGCTAAAATAACTAGGGAGTATTGCACTCTATTTATATGCCTTATGTGTGAATTGTTTTGGTTGCAAACCAGAGAGGGTCGGGCACGACTCAAAAAATATGTCCTTTGAAGGCTGGTGGTATCCTTCCCCCTGGCATGGAGCTCCAGCCCTCTCCACGTCCGGGGGCTCTTCCTTGTGTCTGCTCAGCAATCCGTTCCTCCAAGAACCGGAGGGGTTTGCCCATGAAACGAAACTACCTGCAAAGATCCACGGCATCTGCCCCTCCCCTTTTGCTGTTAGATTCCCCCACTGCAATGAGCAGAGATGAGCAAAAGGCATCGCTGCCTGATGGATACGAAGGAAGGGAAACCTTCCCACTCTGCAACCCTCCGGGCAATGTGAACACGCATCACCTCCCCCCCCCCCCTCAAAAAAAAAAAAATCTTCCAGGGCTTCCAAACTTCCCCAAAACACCCAACCCGGTTTGCCCATGCGCTTTCTCCATTTGATCGAGGTGAATCTACAAGGCGGCACTTCAGCTGCCCGGCCTGACTCACAGCTCCAGTGCCATCGATGCAGAGACAGCTGCCCAAGGATTGCTCTTATTTTTCACGCCCACAGTAGCAACTGGCTACCAGTCATCGCAGTCTGCGGGCTGATGTAGCCCTCCCCATCATTGCTGCTCTCATGTGCATCGCAGGAGCCCAAATACATGACACAAGCAGCGAGCAGCGGGGCCCCCCGTGCTCTGGAGAGAGCCGACCTGCTCTCACGTGCTCCCACCGTGCAGATTTCCAGGCGGCAGCGACCGGCGGATCAGAGGAGTGCAAGGAGGACAAGCTGAGAGCAAGCCAAGTACATTTTGCAGAGTACACAGCAATTCCCGCTCCCAGTAGCTATCATCAATGGCTACACTTACAGCAAAAGGCTATGGATAGGATTATCACGTTAAGAGTAAAAAGAACAAGAAGTACAGGCAAGAAAATTACAATATCCTGAAGGGAAGCTTCCGTAATATTAAAATAATCCCACTTCTCTGCAGCCTCTTTCTGAAAACTCAAAATCAAAACGTGTTTCTGTATTGAACGCTTTTTCTTCTAGGCATATGGGCTAGTTAATGCAAGATTGCTCGTCTCTGAGTTTTTATTTAAAACTACATGAAGAACGATGAGTTCTTAAAAGCATTGAAATAAAATGACGCTCTTCTTTTTCACCCAGTTATTTTTGTTTGTAAACACTGGGCCTTCCACCCGCGATAACATCGCTCCTGCTCTAAGGGCAGTATCATAATCGACACCATGGTTACAAGACAACGAAGCAAGACCAAAGCCAATACTACAAAGAGATGGAAATAAGGGGCTGTGATGAACCTTCTTATTCCCCTGAGGTTAATTTCTTTTCCTGGAGGAGGAAGACGAGCTGATTTCTACATGTTCCAGTGGTCTCAGCCTCTTTGTGGGTCTCGGGGAAAAAGAGGAAAGCGTATGCTTCCTCCTCCCTCCTCTCCAAAAAGAAGAAACCCATATAATTAGGCCAGAAACTCTGCCATAACCTGAAACTTCTGCTGAGCTTTCGCCATCCCATCAAGCAGGAGGAGATTCAAGGCAAGTAACGTGGGTGAATATTCACCCTGCATCCGACAGCAGAGTCCTGAGCCAAAGCAGCGCTGCAGAGTGCAGGTGTATCTGGGACTTCACGGGCTTTGCCACCCAGCAAGCTCTCCAAATCCCCAGCTAGCAGGAAAGCTTTCAAGAAAGGCTGCTTAGGTGGCACGCTAAAAGGGAAAAGGATGCACCTCTGAGCCACAGAGACTGACTACATCCTTCTGAAGACTGAAGGAAGAGAGCGAAAATGAGGAAAATTATTTAACTGGCATCGCTTGAATTCACACCACCATTTCTGCAACGTTTACTCCACTATTTGGGGATTTCCAGCCCAACGGAAAGGTGCTGACGGCCGGCAGCTGCAGCGGAATCCTCCTGCTCATGGAGCTCCTCCGTCCGACATCCCCGGGGAAGGCAGAGCTGCTGGGATAAGTCAAGGGAGGGAGGCTTGGCAGGCGTGCGGGCCCCACAGCTCAGGTCTCCCCTCCCTGCCAAGCTGACTCACGCAAGGTTAGCCAGCGAGGAGGAGGAAGGCGAGCCATCTGAGTCAGCCCAGGCCAGAGCGCTGCTGAGGGAGCGAGGGAGGGAGGGAAGGAGAGAGGGAGGAAGGGGTGAAACCGGGGCGACGGGAAGGGGCTGTGCGCTGGGTTGTCCCATCCCAAGAGCCGGCCGGCTCCTCCAGCTTCCGACCCGGCTCCGTGCCCCGTGGGGACGCACGGCCTGCCCTTCTTCCCGGCTACCTGCCGGCTCGGATAACCCGAGCCCCGGTGAAGAGCAGGGTACAACCTCGGGGTGACGCGGATGAACTTCAGCAAGCTGGAGCTGCAAGAGAGCTCGGAAGGCGACGACAGCTCCGGTTCCAGCGTAACCTCGGCTCGGACCGAAGCTGTCCTGGGGGAGGGAAGAACATCTCTGCCGTAAGAGGCTTCATCGCTGCATCGGATTTGAGCAACAAACATTCTGCCGAGAGATATAATTCTAACAGGTTTAACTCCTATCACTGGGCATTAGTTTAATTGGGCTGTGTTACTGTGTCCTCTGTGGCTCCGCTGACAGCAGGTCCTCTCTGCGCATTAGATCCTCCCACCCGGCTCCCGGCAAGCCCGGTGACAGATGCTCTTTTCAGGGGAGAGGAGGGGAGAGATTATGCTGTCTGGAATTGGATTTGCCCAGGTTAAGGTGGAAACAAAGCAGAGCATGTCTGGGGGGTGGGAGATCACTTCGGTTCACCAGCCGCTATTTTCTATGGGGGTTTCCTTCTACCTGAAGAGCTAAACTGTGGCTGACACCATGCCCTTCTTCAAAGGATCAGAAGCGAGTGGGCATAGGGAGTCATGACTAATTCCCTCTGCAGCCTAGGCAAATTGCTTTTCAGTACTACTGCCTGCCTAGATTTGACACCAGCCCCAGCATCGTTTCATCAAGAAAAGAAAAAAGGCTTGCTGGCGAGCTAGGCCTCCTTCAGCAAAGCGATTCTCCCCTCTCCTGAGCTTGAGTTAAATGCCTCATGCAGAGCCAAATAAGTTAGATCCTAACAAATGTTTTGGGCTTTTTTTTTTTTTTTTTTTTCTTCCTCCCCTTCTCTTTTGTGGTCCAATCTCTGTGAGTGGGAGATCCTCTACCCACAACCACTTCCCTTCTGATCGGCTTGGGATGCAGCCCTGGAGATGCCACACCTTCCCACTTCCTGCAGCGAGCTCCAGAGCCCAACATCTGGAATATCACAGACCTCGGCTGCTACCGCTGTTCCCCAAAGCCCGCACAGATGGAGCATCTCAGCCTGCAACTGGGAGGTAAAGCTGGGGGCCTCGAGCTCGCTGAAGCTACAAAGCGGCCCCATCACTTCCACACCACGCCGCCGAACGCCGCGCTCCCAGGGGAGATCGGTGGTTTCCTGCCGTTTGTTCTTCTTTGAAGAGCTGCACTTTACACTTACTGTGAGGTTGCGAGGCTCTGGGCTTCCTGTTTTCTGCTTTCCACGTTATCTGCTGCCTGGAGAGTATCGGCATCATCAACACACGGCAAGTGGAAGCCATTTAAAAGTCGGCATCCGACTCTGAGCTACTGAGTTGTTGACACAAAAACTCATCGTTCTTCTTGGGGGAGCTGAGGAAGAGTGGGAAGGAGGGAAGGAAGGAAAGGGAAAAGGCCTGGAAACACTCGCGCTGCTGAATGAACCTCTGCCTGCCGGATATTCTGAGCTGTTCTATTTAATACACACACACACACACACACACACACACACATATATATATATATATATATAAGCAATGCCTGCCAACTGCCTCAGAACAGCACATACCAGCAGCCTGGGGGAAGGCAAGCTCTCAAAGGTGCAACCGTTTATCTGCATGGAGCCCAAGCTCCTGCCGCAGCTCGGGGACGGCTGATTTCAGCAGCAACAGAGCACAGCACAGGGGAGACAAGGTCTCTCAGACAAACCTCTCGCAACACTCAACGCAGCAGGAGCAGAGGGAAATCAGCAAGCGCTGACAAGGGAAAAAAATATAGTCAACTGGGATGTGAGAACGGGTGGGATGGAGACGTCCAAGAAAGCTGGCCAAGACACCCAGAGCTGCAGAGCAGTTGGTTCTTGCAACAGCCTGGAAGGACACCGGTGTTGGAAACACCAAGAAAGAGGAGGAGAAGCAAAATCGCGCGGTGCAAGGCAATGTGGGGTCTCCTGAAGCGAAAGGGAATGGGCGTGAAGACCTGAGGCTGGGGGGCTGCCTTTCCTGGGGGACTGCAGACAGCAGCACCTCCCGCCAGCAGGTCGCCAGCCCCTGGAACGAGGGCGGCTGAAGAGATGCAAAAACCTCTGAGGGATTTTATCAGTCCTTGTCTTCATCGCCTGCCTGGCTTAAATTTTGTACTGACAGTTTGGAGCCGTTACAGAAAATTGCTGCTCTGTGGCAACAGACAACTACCAAATCCTTTAAAATAAAACATGACAATCAAGCCATAAAGGGAGTGGCAGAATTAGCCCTCTGCCTCCAGGGGAAAATGTCATGTCCCAAGGAGAAACTGCCCCGTAAACACGAGTGCCCACGCATCCTGAGGAATTAGCTGTGATGAGTGTCCCAGAGAGAAAGGATCAGAGATGTTAGTCTGTTCGAGGGATTAGGTCACCAATGCCGTTATAAAGACAAGGTCTCCACCGTGCTCGCTGTCAGGGCACTTATTTTAGAGCAGGTATGGAGGTTAGTTTTCAGGGACAGCTACTGTGAGGTCCCACAGCTTTTTTTGCACGGGACAAAGGCAAAGACCATCTGCTTAAGAAGGGAAAATACCACAGCCAGCTGCAAGCAACAGCACTTGGGATAGGAGTCTCAAATACACGAGAATACAAAATGCTTTTTTAATTTGCTTTTAAAGCAAATGCTGTGCAGCACAAATTAATTCACGCCCGAGCACTAAGCATCTCAGCTTATAAGCCTTTCTTTGGAAACAGTTATATTCAGCGATCTGAACCACTCCTCCTCCTCCATCTGCTCAGAAAGGATGAACAAACAAGCCATTGCTGAAAGAAGGAAGGAAGGAAGGAAGCCCGTTCAGCCATCTCCAAGGAAAACTGTGCCAGACCAAAAGAGCTCTTCTCCTCACCCCCCCATCACTCCCCCCCGCCTCAAAAAAAAAAAAAAAAAAGAAAAAGAAAGAAAAAAAAAAAAAAAAAAAAAAACAGATCCCAAACCAAAATACTCTCCCTGGTTGGGGCTCCCCCTCACTCCTCGCACGAGGAACCGAGCGCTGGTCACACGCGGCAACAGGTTCTGCTCGCTCACATCTCCCTCCCACGCGCGCGCACACGCACACGCTCGCAAAATGGGACGAGTCAAAGTGCCGGCTTGACTCATCAGCCACATGATCAAAGGCTGGATCTAAAAAGGGGGAACTGGTTTACTCACTGTCTTGGGTACAATCTGTTTCTTGGGCTGCCCGATCTTGAACGGTATCCTGGAAAAGGAGAGAAGAGGGAACGTGTAAGCGAACGACGCCGGCCTCAAAGAGCCCAGCCCCGTGGCTCTCGTCCTCGGTGAGGGGGTTTGGGGTGAGCAGGGCTCATCCCGGGGCAGCAGCACCCCCTCCCGTGAAGGGTGTTCCCCCTCCGAGAGCCGGCGTCTCCCCCAAGGTCGGCACCCCCAGCCGCAGCGCGCCCTTCCGCACCCTCCCGCCGTCCCCGGAAAGCAAAGAAACGCGACGGATGCGCCAGGCATTCCGGCCTGAAGAACCTGCTATGTTTAAAACAAATCTGAAGGGGAGGAAAAAAAAGAAAAAAAAAAAAAAAAAAAAAAAAAAAAGAAAGAAAAAAAGAAAAACAACCTGTAAATATTTAGAAAGAGGATATTAAAAAAAGTAACAACCCGAGTGTCTGGAGCTGTGAGCTGCTTCAAAGGATTTCTCTGATACAACAGCTGTAGGAGCAGCTCACCTGCCAGCAGAACAGCCTTCATTCTTAAAATCTTTCATATGGTTTCTAGTAAAATCTGGGTTACCTGAATGATTTTCCCCACGTGAGCTAGCTCAGAGGTGAAGAGTACTCAAAATAAATTACACAACATATGTGAGGGTGGCTGGGTCAGATGGTTACAGCCACGCAGCCATCCTGAAAATAATTGGATTTCTTTCACATATCAGTATACTAAAAAAAACAGGAATTCAACTGCTGTTTTCAACATATTTAATTAAGTTAAAGAGGTGCTGCTTGGTTAAACCCTGTGATCCAAAATCTCCCAACGTTTTCTGCATCATACTGCTTTAACTACACCTGCATCTGCCTGGACTTGTGCAAGACATTTGACGCTGTCCCGCACGACATCCTTGTCTCTACACCGGAGAGACACGGATTTGATGGAGGGACCACTCGGTGGGTAAGGAATTGGGAGGACGGTGGCACTCAGAGAGTTGTGGTCAAGGGCTCAATGTGCAAGTGGAGAGCAGCGGCGAGGGGCGTTGCTCAGGGGTCGGGGCTGTCCCCGGCGCTGTTCAACACCTTTGTTGGGACACGGACAGTGGGATCGAGGCCACGGAGATGCTGGGGGGGCTGGAGCAGCTCCCCTGGGAGGCCGGGCTGAGAGAGTTGGGGGGGTTCAGCCTGGAGAAGAGAAGGCTCCAGGGGGACCTTCGAGCGGCCTCCCAGGGCTTAAAGGGGGGACAGGAGAGGTGGGGAGGGACTCTGGGTCAGGGGGTGGGGGTAGGACGAGGGGTGACGGTTTTAAACTGAAAGAGGGGAGATTTAGGTGAGATCTAAGGCAGAAATTGTTCCCTGTGTGGGGGGTGAGGCGCTGGCCCAGGGTGCCCAGAGCAGCTGTGGCTGCCCCCTCCCTGGAAGGGTTCAAGGCCAGGTTGGACGGGGCTGGGAGCCCCCTGGGCTGGGGGCAGGGGGTGCCACTGGGAGGGCTTTGAGGTCCCTTCCACTCCAAACCATTTTATGACTCTTACTGCCGAGCAGCCAACGCGTGGCTGGCTCTCCACTTGCTTCTCATCAACTCTACTTCCAAGTCGCCCCGCACCAGCGCTGCTGGAACACCGCTCGATCGGAGCGCTGGAACCCCAGAAAACATTTTTATTAGCGCAACGTGCTGTAAAACCCAGCTAGGAGCAGTGCCACGCGATGGGAGAAAGTGCTTGCGACGAAGCGACGTGCCATCCGCGCGGACGAAGCAAAACCAAGATTATCTGACAACCTGATCCCTCCCGGCCTCGCCTGGGCCCAGCTTTGCCGCTGTTTTCGGACCAACGGTGTAATTAGCCACCGGTAATAAACTGGGGCTGCAACCCATACGTACCTCCTGAGCGGCTCAGGGAGCACAAGCCGACCTGAGTCACCAGGTTTAAAATTAAATTTTTCTGGAGAACTTCCTGTTTATGGTTCTCCGCTTGGACCAATATAATTTTAGGTTGTTAACCCTTTCCAGCACCTGTGGCAGGCCTGGCAGCCGTGAATCACACTTCTTTTATAAACAAACACTCGTCTGGTGTATAATTACCCTGTCAATAACTGGGTGTGTGGTGCCTTACAGGAAGAAAGCAAAAAAAAAATAAGGATTTTTTCTTTGTGTTTTCCTACATGGGTCAAATATAAACTAAAATGAGGCACCTCCCTTAGTCTTGCAGGCACAGGCTGTCCCATCCACAGCCAGGTGCCGTCACTTGATGTTTTTGGAAGTGATGGCATCAACCTATCTCGGTAGAAGGAGGAGAAAAAGATGTGGTTTTCACCCAGGGGAGTGAGTTACCCCAAGAAAAACGAGCTTGCATGATGAGCCACGGTGGCTGCTGGGCAACCTCTGGCAGCGCGGGGGCAAGCACAGGGTTCAAGCTGGAGCTAGGCTGGTTCCTAGCGGGAAAGCACAATTAAAAGGGTGATTAAAGCATTACCTGGACGCAACCATCCCCACTCCCTCGGCGGGCCAACCCTGCCAAAGGGGGTTATTTAGAGGAGCAATCCCGACTGTCGTTGTCCGCTGGCAAGCTGGGTTAAATCAAGGCAATTCTGGTAATAAAAGAGGGATGTGAAGAACGAGCAGGGCCAAGCCACGAATTGGCATCGGTGGGGAGCCACCGAGCTGGCAGCGCAGGCAGCCAGGGGGAAGGCAGTGGGGAACACAGGGGGGGTCCCATCCCGTCCCCCAGCTCCGCCGCAGCGGGGAAGGAACAGCAAAATCCCAGCTACTTTCTTCCAGAACAAAAGAAAGTCACCGGAGCGGTTCACAACACTGTAAATACAGTTCAAAGCAGTAAATATCTCTATCAGCATCATGATGCCAGTTGGCTAATTATGTCTGTCTTGGTAAAACCTCTAAAAAATAACTCCGAGCAAGTAATGTCTATTCACCAATTTATTTTTTATGTTGTTGCTATTTTACAATTTGAGATCATCTTCCTGGTTTCTGAATCTTTGTCTTTAACACAGTCTTGGGGAGGGGGGGGGGGGGGGTGTAGGAAAGATGCATAAGCAGGAACAAAAGCAGTAAGGAAGAAAAGCAGATGAGAGGTATAGATCTTATCTGAGATTTTAAAACAAATGGATGCACCCCGCGCCTCAAAATGTGATGGCAAGCTGCTGCTGGCACCGAGAATTTTTGCCCCTCTGTGAGTCGGCGTCCCAGCCTGCAAAACTGGGGGGGGGGACGACACACAACACACGCCTGACACAGCCACGTTACAACCATTTGCTTAAAAATTAAGAGCCGCCGGGTGGTTTATTCTGTTTAGAAAATGTAGGACGGGCATAATGCAGACAAGTTGGAGAGAGATGGGTCGGTATCTTTCACTGCCATGGATTACCGGCGCAGCACGGTTATCACCGTTACCTTAAAAGCAGAGCACGGGTCTATATGCACCGGAGGAAAACCAGAATCGGTGCATTTTTTTTTTGCTCTCTCATTTCTGCTGAGCGAGAGAAAGCTGGGGTTGTGTTTGGGGTGTGAAATCCCTTGAAATCCTGTTCCTGAAGAGCGCGAGCGCGCTGAGTCACAGCCGGAGCGTTCCCACCCCGGTCCCCCCCATGGCGCGAGGCTGGGGGAGCATCCCGGCCCCTGGCCCCCGCCAGCCACCCGAACCCCACCCTGGGGAGGTCGCCTGGAGTTTGGGAAAGCAGTGGGGTTCAGCTGGGAGGGAGGAGGGCGAAGCACTGCAGGGAGGGGGTGGGAATAGCTTAAAGTA